AAGGCGCCTTAGGGGTCCTTTAGTGTTTACATTAAAGGCGCCTTAGGGGTCCTTTAGTGTTTACATTAAAGGCGCTCTAAGGGTCCTTTAGTGTTCACATTAAAGGGGAGGGGAGTCCTTTAGCATTCACATTAAAGGCGTCTTAGGGGTCCTTTAGTGTTCACACTAAAGGCGAGGAGTGTTCGGGGATTTTTAATAGTATTTAAATAGAGTATTATTATTATTATTGATGATCCTTCCAGGCATTCTTGGCATGTGAAGGTTGCATCCCCTTCCACGTCAGCCTACTTCTATGTAACAAGTGTGTCTTCATGACTCTATCATCTATCGCAATCACAGAATTTCTTTGAACACAACTACCTGCTGGCAGGGAGAAAAAGAACTGATCGATTTATTGTGTGCTTCATTCTCAGCTAAGTATTAGAACAAGAGGTGAAGATACTTAGCTTGACAAGAAATCCCCAACCCCATTGATGCTTCTAGAGTAAAGTAGGATTGGATCTACTACTAATAATTGGAGGACAACATGTACAACAGTGCGGGAGGTTCGTGTGTGGTGAAAAGATTGAGGAAAGCCCAAAAGTTATTTCCCACCCCTGAAGCGTTCGCACCATAGCGACGACGAACCCCTGAAGCATTCGCACCATAGCGACGACGAACCCCTCAAAATGAAAGTGGGCACAGCTTTCGTTTGTTTCCTTTCATTAGCCTTGGGGAAGTTCCTGTTGATTAGAAACAAACGCAAAATAGGCGAGTTACTGACCGAAATAAAAGAGTCTCTCTTGTTGACTACATAACTCCTCTCCGTTCAGTATCTCCCTTATCTTAAGTAGTTACTCGCTTTTTTCAGTTTGTCGAATAGAACACTGCACACCAACCGGCACGAAAACAAGCAGAGGAGTGATAGTCTACCATGCACTGAACAGAAATGTGGATGGTTCACAGCTGTGTGTGTCTATGTGGTTGTGAAATAAATCAGGTTTCTCTACGTGTGTCTGAACAGGAATTGCTAGCAGGCGTCGCATTACGACGAACTGCCACGTCGACCTCGACTGATAATAAGAGGGCTGAGGAGCAGCTCTGTAGTAAATCGGTTCTAAGTACTTGAGTCCGACCTTAAGAGAGCCTTTTCGGTAGAGTTGCACGGAAGACTAAGCTCCAGAGTTTTTCTGGTCGGATGGTCATAACCAGAAATATAACAGTCGATCGCCTATCGGTACTAAGTATAGGTAAAAAGAAGTACTCTGTTCTGAGAATATCAGCAGAAAAATCAATGGAGATTGTCAAGATCGGTCGCGTGTTTCGTGCATTCTATGTCTGTAGGAATTTCGCAATATTGATATTTTTCTGTGTCTCTCTGTTAAAGTCATGCTTATGATCGGTGCAAGTGCATCTAATTATGGCATCCGTTGTCCGTATCGGTAAATACTATATCTTCCTATAAGCACGTTGCAAAGTAGAAATTAACTGTGCTCCTGCTGGAAAGCTCTATTACAATTGGCATACAACTCTTACTGGTACGTTTGGTCTTGATATCATTAACTTGTCGTGAATTAGTAGAAAAACAAAAGAGCTTGAGAAAAACAAAACGAACATCAACAAGATTGATCTTCATATGCGTACCCGTCTACGGACTGGGTGTATCATCATCATAAGTTGTACGTGTACGATAACAAGGAAAATGGGTGGAGGACTTCTTAACCTCGTTTGGTCGGATCGAGGCTTGTCTGCTGATGATCATGAGTTTGTCTTCTCGACATCTCCATCCTCTCCTTAAGGCCACTGCATCCTATACTACGTCCCCCTTGTCTGTGTCTACTTCTACGTCTGACAAAGAAGATCTTCAGGACGGCATGACTAAGAACTCAATTTAGCCAGCAATCCATCACAGCTCTAATCATATCTTATGCAGACCACTTCGCAGAGCAGTCAGCAGCGTCACGGGTGGAGAAGTATATCAACATCGACTTCCTTCTTCGCACAGCGTCCACGACCTGTGAAGACCTTATCAACATCGACTTCCTTCGTCGCACAGCGTCCACGACCTGTGAAGACCTCCTCCACTTCGTTCCTCTACAAGGCGTGTCCAGTAGACCATCGTTGTGTTTCGAAAGTAGGCCGCTTCGGTCTGGAACACAAGAATTCGGAGACAGCATATGGGGACGAAATCACAAGAGCAGGCACGCAGATTCGTGGCTTTTCTGCGAAGAATGATATGATCATGAACTGTTTCTTTAACGAACACATCAAAGCATATTTTTTCTTTGCAGAAGTTGATGTACTAAGTAGTTGTTCTCACTGCATCTATGCGTATAATTCGTGAGGCACCCCCTCGTCTCGTTCGGAATGAATATCAATGAAGAATAGACCTACATTTACGTACAAGTACTCAAGGTAGTTCCCTCGCCTTCTCTTCATATGATGTCCACCAGGCGCTTCGCAGGAAGCGGCTTCTCCAGATGTTGACATTCAAGAACAAGAGAACCTTGAATACAAGTGGCCTGGGCCTTTAGCAAATCCTATTCAAGCTGGCGGTCAGTTGAAAGCGCGCACAACTAATCCCGGAGGTAAGGATGGAGACGAAGGCACCGATGAACAAGACCTCAAAATCGAGGCGCTTTACGAGGAAGGATGCCCTATGAAAGGTACCTGATAGGATGTCCATTGAACTAGTAGGTGTGCGACGGACCCTCGAGTCAAGGCTTTTGCAGCCGTTGTGAAGAAAAGTGATTCTGTTTCTGATCGTACAGTTCAAGAATTTTTTCGACCATCAAGAATGAAAATTTCAACCTGTTCGTCCAGGTTTTGCCTATCCTCCTTCTGGCAATGTGGACCAGCAAGAAGGCTCCAATAGCGATAGCCTTGCACCACGCTGTTACGAGCCTGCAGAAAAAAATGCGTCAGGGCAGAACCTAACTCCCTTTCCGAGTTTTGGTCGTACTTCCTGTCACAAATATTCCTCTCGTGGATATGAAGAGGCGATCTGCAATCCAAGTCCATTTCTCGGAAAAAGCGGATCGGATTTTAACACTTGCCGATGTGTACCTACGAACGTTTTATCAGGTGAGCCGGGAGGTGAGTCTTCCTCTTCTTCTCGCATTGACTTGCCATACGATAGTGGGAGCGATAAGAATGTTTTCGGAGAGAAATTGCAAGAAGCAATTTCTGGCGGAGAGGAGTCGTCATCTGCAGTAGGAACAGCTAAGATTTCACCAAAGCCCATTCCATTACATGTGATATCGTGGAAGCCAACTGATAAAAGCAGTGGTGGTTCTGGTAGCGCAGCTGGTGGTGGTGATGCTGCTGGCGCAGCTAGTGGCGGTGGTCATGCTGCTGGCGCAGCTGGTGGTGGTGATACTGCGATTGTTAACGTTGACGCAACTGGTGGAGAAAATGCTGGTGCTTCGTCTGAGCAAGAAAAAGGCTCAGATCAGACTCCACCTTCACCAGAGACCATCTACATAGTTCCTCACTTTCCATATGTTCAATTGCCTGCCAACATAAACACTGTCGAAGACGTACAGAAAGCGCTCATTTTAAGGCTTCCCTGAATGATCCATCTTGTTCTACGTCTAAGACATCTTGTATGTTCTACGTCTTCGTTCAGAGAAGTCCTCACGCATTCTAGGAGAGTTGAGGCTCCTTTTTTCATGTATCCTAGGAGACAGAGAGGCTAGGTTTCTCAAGAGGAAAACGGAACGGAACTGGATGGACGATGCTTTTGAGGACGGATCATTAGGTTGACGAGCGCTAATCCTTGCCGATACACGACTTGCACCTTTGGAATGGGTCGATAAATGGGCACAGGATAATCATGTTGAAGAAAGCACCGGTGCTACCGCTGCAGCATCGACGTGGAACGCATCTTATGAGAAAGCCGCTTCACTAGTTAACGCGCAAGTTGTAGCGGCTTCGAACGCGATGAAGTGTGGATCGAGATTTGCAGCGCTAGCCGCCAAAGAAGGAGTGACGGGTACAACAGGACAGGGAGGAGCTGACAAAGGACCACCGCCTGAACCAGTAGTCTTGATAAGGCTTCATCATAAAGTGATCATCTTAGCAACAGGCTGCATCATGCATGCTCTCCTCTAATCGTAAATCCAGACCCACATTGGACCGTGGCTATGCGGAAAGCCGTAGGCGCCCTACGAACATGGGAGGAACTCAAGGCTTCATGCGTAGAGGACATGACGCAGTCATATTATAAACTGAAGGAACTTCTAGTAGGCAATGAGAATGCTGGTGGAACTTCTTTGGGACTGATATTATGGATGATGTTTTGTCCATCTTTCAGACCATCTAGGCTCACCCTAATTCTATACGTGCTCAAGGGGAAAAGGGTAGTCGTGATGCTCTGGCTAGATGAAATAGACATCATTCATAGATATCAGAGGAGAACTTCGGGACTGAAATCGGTCATCCTCCTCAATGCTTTCTTGGTTCCGAGATTGCAATTTCTCCGCAAACTAAAGGACAGCCTAACAAAGGACACGGATCATCTGGGGAAGATTAAGGCTCTTGTTACTTCTAATTTTTAATACATCTTTGACAACTCACTGCATCTGCATCCTAAGAATGCCATCCTTGAAGTTGAAAAGTATGGAATCAGAGTATTTCTTCAATTTCACTGCGATACTCCTCATGGAAGATGCAGTTGCAAGATGAATTATATGGATATTCGTTCTAAGAAGAAGTCTATGGCTTCGATGCAGTGATAGCTTACCTATTCAAGTGTGGAGATGACATCGATGCGGAAACGATGAAAACCATGCGGTCTGACTTCGGATTTGCGCCTAGTAAAGGTCATCGTGACCTCAATTGGGGTGTCTACGGGAGTGGTGGAAGTGCGGCCGCTGTGGAAACGAGTGGTGGAGGTGAAATGAGTACTAGTGGAGGTGAAACGAGTAGTGGAGGTGGAGGTGCAGCAGCTGCTACTAATGGCGCAGTATCTGTAGAAGCATGAAGATGAAACTGAGAGTACTTCTCGTCCTGCTCCGAATGATTTCAATTTCTGTCATATAATTGCGTGCTAGGCGGGTTCACTGACTCTGACGGGCATAGAAGATTCTAAGAAGAAGAGGTATTCAACAGATCCCGTTCTTCTAGAATGATCATGCCGATACCTGAAGAAATCTCTATCTTCCTTCGAGGCATCACAAGAGAACAAGTGAGAGCATTTCAGCATTGCTCCGAGTGAGTGATACTCGTATTGTCTTGATGGTCACAACTAGTACAGAGTGCGATTTCGATCTTTGGACATGATCTTGAGAGTACTAGACACTGAGAGTACACATGAAGAGATCGACCGTAATGCATGGGTGGAGGTGAACAACAACAAGATCATAAGTGTCCCTATAATAAGCCTTAAAAAGACAGCATTATCATGGGCAATGAGCATTCTAAGGAGCGTAGTTCTGACTCTGCGGCTTGCTTGCGGGCTTCTGGTGTTGCAGATCACGCCAGACCACCACGAAATAGACTGCCGCCAGCATCAGAACCTGCTATAATACCTACTCTTGTGGAGCAGGAAGGAGCAAGACGAGCCTCTTTGCCAGTAGGACCAATCGATCTCTCATCCGCTCCTGTGAGTACCTGTCCTTCACTGGTTGGTGAGGGTGAGTCTTCTCCAGCTTACAGCGTCTTAGATCTGACGGCGACACCTGGTGGAGGAAAGACGAGGAATGCGCTGCCGGCAGCTGGAAGGCACCACTTGTTAGGACAGTTATGAAGAGGAAAATCAAGATAGTTCTACATCAATGACAAATATGTCAATACTACTTTGATAACAAAAAAACGAAGCGTTCTGCTCTTACTTTCTGTTCAATTTGAGGTGTTTTATTGTAGTAGCTACTCGTTTTTTTCTGCTGCAACGTTTAGCTTCAGATGTACTGATGAATATTGGTCTTGGAAGCACTTCATACTTACAAAAGCTACTCCTTGCTTTTCGTTCATATTCACCGGAGGACGAGAATCACAGCATACCAGCCAACAGTTGTACGCCTAGTGATCTAGTAGTTGTAAATGTTTCGGAAGAGGAGCGCGTGCGCCGCAATGAGGATGACGAAGACACCGAGTATTCGCCTATTGAACAAGGACGAATCGAGGATTTCCTAGCCGAAATCTTAGAAAAAGTTGAGATCAAAACGGCTGGTAGAAAACGGGATAATCTTTCAAATGCTGGTGACGTGGTAAGTGGTAGTGGTAGTAATTATGGAGAAGAAACAACTGCGCAGCAGGTCATCACTGAATTCGACAAGGGAGAAGATGAACATGAAAGTAAGCTAGAGGTAGAAACAGAAGTAGCAGAAGCAACAAACTCAACGTCAACACCGAGAGGACCTGCAGAAAATAATTAAGAGTAGGTTAAAGGTGCTCTTGTTACCGTTTGTTATGGCTCTCCTAAGGGGGACAGCCATAACAAGCGGGAGAAACGAACACCAAAAACCTACCTCTAAAATAATCACGAAGAACTACACCATCAAAGCAACTCCATTAACGACCCAGCATGCATCAACGACCAGCACGACTCTGCTGCTCACCAAGCCGATGCTATTGAAGAATCAGTATTGGACGAGAGCCGTTTCCAGGAGGACTTGCATTGTTCCACTATTCATGAAGCCTCCACTATCCATGAAGCCTCTGACACGGCCACACTGTACCAAAGCTTCTTAGATGACGTTCCGCCTTCCGGTGCAAGTGCCCTAGAGACATCAAGCTTGTCGATACGGGAGGAAGGAGAGGTCGGGCTCGGCGTCGTGGACGCGGATCATGAGGAGACGGAGAATCCAAATACTAGAGATCATAAGGGGTTGAAGGTAGAAGCAACCTCAGTTACTTCTACGCACAAGCAGATAAACGATGAGCTGCAAGGTGGTGATGTAGCTCTTGGTGTTGACGCTATTCAAGATGTTGTAGTGGAAAAGCATGTTGGAAGTAGTGATCACACGACTACAGAGACAAAGTCCTACTCCTCCTGCGCAGAAGAGGTACTAGACGAATGGCGAGATGCGCTGCCACCTGCACACGAAGAGGACGATGTCTCTCCGCAGACCGCATGCGAGGACGCCACGCCACCTAAGAAATTCTGGGAAGACCAGTTTCAGAAAAGTACTAGTAAATGCAGCACACCCACACCTGCTCTGCTAAGTAATAGAAAAGAAATAGTAGACCAAAGCAATGTTGCAGAAGATGAAGATGATTTTCCGGTGGCTGTCGATCTTTCATATCACAGGGAGAAAATTTCATCGCCTTCCTTCTGCAGAAACAACTGCTTCGGCAGTGATAAGTCCTTTCCGCTGACGAGCACGAGTATCGTCGAGGACAATATCATCAAAGTTACCACAGATGAGAATGGCGACCATCTGCATGGCAATGATCTTGTAGGTGATGGTGAAGTGCATTATGACCCTGTCGAAGAAAATGATAATACAACCGACGGCGCTGAAGTCGTTGAAGGAGAACTGAATCAGAAGGAAAACGCCGAGGAGGTAGAAGTAGTTGGAGCTGTTGTAGATGAAAACGAAGAAAATTTGCAAGAACTACAATACACAGATGCTGATTCTCCACATCTGAAAGACGTAAATGACGAACGACGCTTTTGCTCTGACGAGGATGCAGAAAGAGCTGGTCATCAAGGAGAGGAAGTAAATCGCAATCGCGATACAACAACGGCTAATGATCTTCGCGGAGACCACCTAGAGGAGATACTGCAAGAAGAACAAGTTAACCACGATGAGAATTGTGACTCTGTCGCTAATGTTCTTGGTGGAACTACTGATGATCAAGCTGGTGTGCTGGAACCCGACCAACATGCGCCTCCTGCAGTACTATGTGAAGAAGACGATCCTCCATCCAATTGCATTGCCTCCTCCGAGCCTCCACGAGTTACTTCCTCTGATTCTGCCGTAGTTGTTCCGCCATCACCGGCTTTGCCTATGCGCAGCTGTCCAGCTCCCAAAAAGCGGTGGTCTGGAGTCGCTTTTCCTTCCGAGCTATCACCGAGCAAAGGCGGGTGCTATTAGAGGCATTAAATGAGATGTGGTTCTGTTTTAGTCTAGGGTCGTGCTATTATAGAGGCATTAGATAATGATGTGGTTCTGTTTACCTTTTTACTTACTAGGATTACTACAGTGTTCCGTCCTCTGGTGTCTCTTCATTTTGTCTTTTTGTTCCTTGACCATGTTCATTCTGCTTTCGATCACCGTGACTACCTGGATTCTATCTACCTTAATCAAACTACATTGATGCTGAGCTTGTGGTTCCTACCCAGAATAGTGGATTACCCTCTTAGATGTAGTTTTCCAATTCTCCTCAGATCCTCAGCGCGTCGACGTCTATCTTTGCAGCGAACCTCGAGTATTTACCTTCCGTCAGAGGAAGATCTGAGCGATGAGGGTACTCAAAACTTTACAGTTGTTGTTGCAGCCAAGTAGAGGAGGTTTATCTTGGTTATTAAATTTCGTGTCTAAGGTGTAAGCGCAGCAGGAGAAGCATTATACGTAAACCTTTCTCGTCCTACTTCCTGTTCAACATTTATGTTGTTCGTGATTTCAAAGTATATGGTTTTTGTGTCGCTAGTGATATGCATATTTGCAGCAGCGACAGCAGCGCTAAGAGCAGCGCACGCACAGGCGATGAATTTTTTCAGCCTTGCTATCATGATACTTAATAGCGATAAATATCTTTTTCGCTTGGATGTGAGTACAAGATAATGATGATCTACGATAATTTTCTTCTTTTCCTTTGCCGAATTCACATGCCCATTGTGGTTATTTTCTAGAAGGAGTTGGATCGACGTGTACACTAGGTAGCACCTCAAAAGATGGGTCAAGTACCGAGTTCTGAGCAAAAGTTGATTCAAGATAAGAACATCAATAATTATCCTCCTAGTAGAAGTAGTAGGCACGACTCTACTGCTTCTTCAACTTCAACTGATGGTACTGTTTTGAAGGATAAGAATCATCAGAATGCTGTTGCTAGACCTACGAGTTCGCGGCAAGAACGCCTCTCGACGTCGTCCCCAAGTCAAAATAGTTGCACTACATCTACAATTTTTCAGGGAGAGCGAGAAAGACAAAAAACAAAAGAAGTATCAATGAGACCCAGCACAGCATCATCATCACAGGTGCACAACAAGGAGCAAATCAAGTGCAGGCCACAGCAGCGAAATGTTCCTCCTTCTACGAGGACAAGTGAGAACGTAAGGACACCAAGTCCAAGAGTACCAGATTATAGTAGATCGACCTCCTCCGACAATAGCGGTAGCGACTGCGAGGCGCAGTTACCTGCAACCAGTAAAAACGCATGCGATCACAGCACGTCTGGTCTGTTGTCAGATTTTTCTACAACCAGTTCATGCAGAAGCAGCGATCATCGCAGCTATCGCACCACCACTCGACCACCAAGGAGAGTAGTACTTTCCACCACTGAAGATGACGACGATAAAAGTAGTCGACGGTCATCGACGACTACGTTGTCTATTTCCGCTTCAACTCTGTGGACTACGGATGATGAATCCTCTGGACTGATTACGCCAAGTTCAACCTCTTGTGCGAGCACTCCTATCGTTTCTGGATCTAGGACAGCCGCATGCGCCGCTAAGTCGTCTGCCAGCAGCGTCACCGTCGATGAAATCACCACGCCTGAGAGGGCAAATATTGTCTCTCTAGTTTCATCTTCAGTGGGCAACAGCGGAACTAACCAGGAACGAGTAGCAACGTTGGCTCAGAATAATCGTGTTTCCGATACGCAGACACACCCTAAACAAAGCGATAGCGTCGTTTCACGTCAAGATATAGCTGGCGCAACATCCGCGAATCCGAAAGCACCAACCCCGCCTCATATTGACGTGAAAAATAAGAATACTCTGACCACGTCAACAAGGTCTTCGTGCGCTCCTGCAACTGCTACATCTTCAACTTCTAAAGCTGGTACCTCAAGGAGAAAGGCCTCCTCCTCCAAAAAACCAAGCACTCGACAGTCTAGGAAGAGAAGAAACAGTAGCCTAGAAGTTGACGTGTCCACGACTTCTATTCGTTCATTCACTGCACCTGCAGGAGGGTGCTTCTTAGAGGCTCCTGCTGCAAGTAGTTCTGGTCCAGCCTTCACAGTAGTAGAAAAAGTGCGGGACGCTGCTCGTCGTGTGATAGCACGGCGCACTTGGGTTTCAGCTTCACGGATAACGTCGTGTGTGCACCTAGTTGGTGCATCCACATCCTCCACGATAAAAACTACATCTAGGACATCGTTGAAAAAAGGACAAGATGAAAAATACGATCAACAAGGACCACAGAGCGATGAGAATGCTGACAAAAAAACTTCCTCTGAAGAAAGTACTGCACTTTCAGACCTCTTCTTCTACAGTAGCACAAGGACGCCATATCCATACGAGCTAAAGATCTTAGAAATAGCTACTTATAGTTTCAGACATCCTTCTTCTACAGTACAAAGCTGCCAACCGTCGAGCTAAAGGCCTTCGAAGTAGCTAGTCGAAGTAGTTGTTGAAGTCGTGGTTGTCTTCATCTTCGTATCTTATGTTTTACGGTGATCCTCTACTAGTTTTAGTCTGTACTACTAGGTAGTTGTAGCGATAGGGCAGAATCAACTTCCTGTTCGTAAATGATGTTGATGTAATGTTTTTCACTGACTCCTACTGAGTGACTTACACACAGGTTCCTCGCAGCATCGCCGGCGTAGCTCGGATCATGGCGGAGGTGTAACTGTTGAGACCAGTCGATCCTGGAAGAGAGCTCAAAGTTTGGGCATCAACAGTTGCCGACGATCCTCTACGTCGTCAGTACTTTCGAGTAATGCATCGACGTCGAGAAGACATCAAGCTGGTTGTTCACAACGGGAAGAGAATCATCCTGACGCGAAAGTAGGTTCTGGCTCTGCTTCAGGTAAGAATGTAGTCATAGGAGGAGGCGAAGTAGGGGAAGAAGCCACGACAGGTTCTTCACTCTTGGACAACATAGGTGGTGCAAAGAAAACAAATTCGTCTGGATCTGGAGTAGGAGCATTGTCCAAAAAGATGGGTTCATCACACTCGTCCTCACGTCAAAATTCTGTTCAACAAAAAGCCTCCTCCAAAGGCAACAGCACGACAACAACTAGTGCATCTGGTGTAACATCAAGCACGACAACAACTAGTACACCTGTTCGCGCTCTAGATCTGTACACTGCTTTTCACGAATACGAACGCGATACCTTGCATCAACATCGACTCTTGACCGGCGTCGACGTGCTATATCGGGATGTTTTGCAGTTACAGCGCAAACTCGATGTCTTGGAAACGCTGTTGGCCGCGATAGACCGCATTCGGACAGCCATGGAACAAGACCTGAGACCGGTAGGGGAGTCGTCGGATGAAGAGGGAGAAGTAGAAGATTGTGTTGCAGTTGAAGCAAGGAACAACACAATTAAGGCTTCCCCTAGTCCATCCCTGTCGACATCGATTCCTCAAACATATCATATATGAGATATGCGCCCCAATACAAGGGAGACACTGACGCATATGTTTGAGGGATTTCCACAGAGATGAATAGGGGAGAGCTCTAACACAAGGGTGGAAGATGGTGAAGATGACTACAAAGACAACAATTATGGCAATGCTGGGACACAAATAGAAAAAGAAGGTATTCCACCGCTGGAGGAACGACGAAGCACGTCTTCGTCCTCAAGTGCCGCGCAAGACGACAATGTAATCGCGCATCAAGATCGTGATCATGCAGATGACTTTGATCCACATGGGGAAGATCTTTTCAACAATAGTGGTAGTTGCGAAGAAAGCAAGAAGAGTCTACGTTGTTCCACTATGACGGTCGTAAGTACGACCTGCGGAAGCAGTTCCAGCATATCCGGCAGCTCCTCTTTGGTCTCTTCGATGTCTCTGGTTGAAAAAGCGAGACAACTACAAGCTAATTTGTTATGGTCAGCTTTTTTCATTGTCCATCTTCCTGGTCAACATTTAGTGCTTTTTTCCATCTTTATTCTCGGCATCATCTTGGTCCCCTTTTGCCTTGTATTCTTGCAGACTCTAAATTTGGCCGATGATGATGAGGAAGAAAATACAGGACCAGGACGAGACGACGAACAAATAAAGGGTCGTGAGGCGTCCTCCTCCTCCTCCTCCTCCTCCTCCTCTGCGGGTTCACCACTCGATGAGAAGCAAGAAGCAGGTGAGCAAACTATTTCAACTGCAGGAGGATCCTCTAGCTCTGTGGCCGCATCCTGCTCTTCCTCGTCAACTTCACCTACCAGCTCCTCTTCGTCCAGTTGTTCCTCTTCTTCCCATCACCTCCTCAAGCGTCTGCCAGCTAAAAGGTACAGGAAGATCTTGCGTGACACGGAGAAAATCCTAGAGTCCAAATTGCAGGAAGCGGAAGAGGGCATCCACTTTCGAGTATCCAACTATCAAGTGGGTCTAGTTTGGCCTCGATCTGGGTTGTTGTCACTTTCTTGCCTCACGTCCGCGTGGGTAGCCCACTTCGCAGCCGAATTGCGGGAAGAATTCCGATTAGCGCGAATCGAAGTTTTCTCATGGCTGGAAGTCTTGCTGGAGACTAGTACAACTACGAATGGTGCACCATCTTCTAAAAATACGATGCTGGAGAGTTGTGGTAGTTCCAGTTCCTCTGGTGGTGGCGGTGGTGGAGGAAGTGTCTGCAGTAATGCTCCCAAAGAGCCGGGAGGAGCACGTCGAGGTGTAGGCAGTGGAGGTGCGGGCAAGATTCAGCAGAGTGGAGGTACTAGCACAAGTACGAAGAACTCCTGCTCAACATCTTCTGCTTCATCTGGTACCTTCACAAGGAGCACAAGAACTTCCAAACCCCAAGACGAGCTGAGGCAAACACATCAAATTTGTGCCCAGACAGCTGGTCGGATCAAGGAGCAGATCGAAAAGCAATTTGAGTACTGGACAGACGAATTCAGGTCTGTTTGGGACACGTGGCAGGCTTCTATTAAGGCTCACAATTGAATTCATCTTGTTCCATGATAGACTACCTACTTGTGCCAGTTTCTGACTCTGAGTTTCTTTGTTTTACTCAAATGGATTCTGAGAATTGACAAACGAACTTTGCAAGGTAGGAGGTGAATTACTGTGAGCTCTAATTTCGCGGAGAAACTGCATTACACAGTCACGAGCAAAAACTCAAGACTCGAAGACTTGTATCACAAATTAACGGTAGTTCACGCCAAGAGTTCTTTCGGAGGTTCCTCTTCCTCATCCTCAAGGACATTTGGTACTAACAGGAGAAGGAGTCGCGATGCACCGGGATCAGTACTCTACCAATTGCAAATGGCACAGAAGAACAGGAGTCCAGTTCTCGGGGATGCATGCTATGATCATGAGGTGTGTGAAAGTGGAACTGGACGAGGCGCAGGTGAAGATGTGCCGGGATCTTCATGCTTTCCTCCTGCTTCAGGAACGGCTTCAAGTTCATCGGGAGCTATAGGACGAGCGGCTTCCTCATCTTCGAGTGGAAACAACCACGGCAGGACAAGAACAACTACTGCAAGAAGTCTTAATGGAGCAACAGTTACCACGGCCACTTCCTCACGTGATAAAGTAGTGGTGCGTGCGAAAGGGCGTCGATTGGGAGGCAAAACACTGTTTTCGAACGGCTTTTTGAGTCTCCACTATTTCCCAAAACATCTCTTGACAAGAAGAGACTACTTTCATTCCCACCACAATAATAATCATCAACATCATCAACACCATCAACCGTCTCCGTCTGGAAACAGTAGTACCTCACCACATGATCGAGAGGGGCGTTCTAGTGCCGGTGAAGAGCAGCAAAATACGGTAGTTACAACAACTACTTCTTGCTCTCCAGCAAATGGAACAGCACCTCGTGATTCACCCAATGACTCCATTAAGTCTCCAGCTGCACCTTCGCCAGCGAGCTCATCTATAGGTCGTGCTACGAGCGCATCGATGGAACTGGTAGGGCTGGATGAAAGCAGAGTAGACGAGGAGAGCGGACGACCGAGTGGAGAACTTGTAAAGACATCAAGGTTAACAAGTCTGTCTTTTCTAGCGAGAAGCCGAGAGGACGAAAAATCTGGTATAATTAGTCCGGCAAAAATCCATGCTGCAGAGGCAGACGATATTCAGCACCACAAAAGCGAGGCCCCTGAAGATGCCTTGGATAAAGTCGATCCCTCCGCGGCAGCTGATACAATCACTACTTCTAGTACGACTACAGGAGCGAGAGCCGTTGTCATGCCTTCGGCACGTAGTTCGTCTTCTACGACAGGATCGCCGAGTCGCGGCGACGACGAGGGTGCTGACTCGGAGGAAAGCGATTTCTCTCCTATCACGTGTCGCGAGCACGTCTCCAGCGATGATGAGCTAGTCCGTCGCAGTGAATGGTGGTGCGAGGAGGATCGTGCGTTTTTCTATGCCAAAACTACAGGTTCTTGTACAACATCATCTTCAACTAGTAGTTCAGCATCTTCTGCCAATGTAGTAAATGTTGGAGCACCAGGTGGAGGAGGAGGAAACTTGCTAACTGCAACTGCGGCATCATCATCAAGTTCGTCCAGTAATCGTCCTCTATCGAATGCTGGTTTACAGAAGCGCCCTCACCATCGTGGTCTATTACCTGGCAGTGCCATGATTGACTTGGACGCACTTCCGTCTTCAGCAAAGAGAAGGTCATCTTCATCTCATAATCATGTCCACAGTGCACGACCATCGTTTATGAGTTATACTAGCGGAGGACCCGCACCCTCACCGAATTTTCCGTTTCCACGTCTCTCATCCCGGTCATCGTGTTCATTAGGGGTGGCGAAGAAACATTCATCTACCCTACTAGTGGGGAGAGACACAATAAACCCTATGGTCGAAGATGGAGGACAGGACTTGCTTCACCAAGCAGATGATGATCATCCTTTATCAACATCGTCTTCTACATTGCATATATTACCTACATTCGCCAGTGCCAACACCGCATTAGCGACGCCTGTCCGAACTTTGGTCGCATCTCCTCTCGTGGTCAGCGCTGGGTCAGCCCAATCAGCGACTCCAGATGAACAAGCAAACTCTATTAAAGTTGTGGCACCAGCTGAACAAGGAGGACGAGGTGAAGGGACTGGGAACGATCTTCATGTTGCGACAGGAAAAGGATCTCTGTCTTCATCCTCCTCCTCCTCCTCTTCGTCCAAAAATGATTATTCGACATGTAAACCGACTACAAATAACACGAGGACCTCTACAACAAGAACAACTTCTTCGCCTCCTCTATATCAATTAACGAGCAACAACTTCTACACTGCTCATGGGAACCGGAATTTCTACGCGCCGCTCCTAGAGCAGGAACAGATGTCGAGTAAGAGCTTCCTGCTGCCAGACGACCTGTCGATTGCGTTTGTGTATTCGATAGCAAATCTGATTGTGCTCGAATTGCATCAAGCAGTTCACGCGATTCCTGATGGTTGTCGGCGGATTCGATTGCTGGTGAATCTGTTGGTTGAACAAGTAGACGTAGGAGGTGCTGCAGGCCGTGGAACGACAGATGGAGTTGGAGTAGGCGTAGAAGAACCAGCATCAAATGTAGATGGAAAACATAAGACGATCATGAAGATGAACGTTACGAGTCCACCTTCAAAGTTGTCCCCCTTTTCACCCGGTTCTAGTAGCAACACTCGAATTACGAGTCGTGCCTCTCCCAACAACCCTAAGTCTCATCAAGAACAGCGTTCCCCAGCCACGACTTCCGCTTCACACTCACAACTCCCTCTAGCCCATCTGCGACCTTTTATCGCGTTGCAGCTTCTCTATCGGGGCCGCGAGTTGACGGAACTTCTCAGTTACATTGACCTCACCAATGTCGACAGATTGGAGTTTCAAAAGCTGTGTCGAAAACTCCATAACGCGGGAGAAAATGAAGACCTGGCGGCCTTGTTGTCGCCTTCATCTTCGCCTAGGCCTTCTCAGACTCAAAGCATGGATTCGTCTGTAGAGGACCTGAAGAAAATGTCGCCAGCTTTAACTCTCGTTGGTGGCTTAATCTTAGACCTGGTTTCTGTCTATATGGGTTTCTGTTGCGACATTCTGACGCAAATTTGTGTCCAGGCACCGAAAATGCAAAGCACAGCACTCAGTTTATCTGATGTGGTACTTGCGAGTGGGGGCAGTAGTGTTGAACAACAACATCTTCAAGGGGGTACTGGTACTGGTACTTTCAAAACAGCGACGACCACGAAGAATCCTACTACTTCATCGTCTGCTCCCACGACAGGTGGACTACTTGTTGTTGATCCGAGCAAGGGCGTTACTGCAACGGGGGAAAACGAAAAGACTATAGTCTTAGACGTCTCCGAAGTGACTACAGACTTGTTTCATGCTCTTTCAGGGAATGAAGTCCTCGAATTCCTTGGGGAAGTGAATATCTTTCTCGCAAAATTAGCATGTGCGAAGAGCTGTCCCGGAATTTTTACGCTGGACCACGAGGACTTGTTCATCTCAGACCATCAAGGTGGGAATGGGATTTTAGACCTGTTTGGATTTGGAAGGGATGCGAATCATCTTCAACAAGGAGTAGCAGAGGAACTACATGGACAGTTGGCCGCGAGTATGATCAAGGATAGCGATAGGAATGACGTCAACGCCACAAGTAGAAATGCTAGGGGGAGGGTTAGTAAGAACAAAACTAACGCTATGGGCACCCACAATATTGATGACTTCTTCGATGAAGAGGCTTGCTGCTCACCGCGAGCTCATATGAGCCAACATATAACGAAAATAGGACAGAATAGTCGAACCACACGCCCACATAGAACACGGCACATTTTACAACATAGTACTGCCGCAGCCTCTTCATCTTCCAGTAATAGGGCATCTACTTCTTCTTCCTCGATATCGTCAGCAGGAAATAACAGCAAGGACCACGCGACCTCCAAAAATAATGCTTCCCAGCATAGTACAAGCAGGTCTCCTCACGACCATCATTCCAGTAGAAATCGATCATCCAGGACACTTGACAGGAGGATCAGCACTTTCAAGGCAAAACTCCAGAAATTAATTGACAATCCCCCTAAACTTTGGCGACGTAAACATCCAGTATTGACGCTCTACTCAACGAAGTCTCAGCTTTCCAAAGCGGCTGATGTCCTTGCACATGCAGTGCGCATTTTGGAGGTGTGTGTGGAAGTGATAGACAAATCTACGTCCTCTACACCAACCTCGTCTCCTAAATCTGCTAGTTCGAAGATGATCGTAGAAGAAATTGCTGAAGATGATCTTGGCCAACCACTCCGTTCCCGCGAAGCTGCTGTGACAATGCCATCAGTTTTTCCGTCGTCATCTTCTGGAGGTAATGCCCGTAGAAGAAGCGTCTTTTGTGGTTTAGGGCCTGCTCCTTCGCCCACTGCTGTAGCTGCTCAAGGACCTTCACGAGGTGGTCCGTCTGCCTTACCGCGAACACATAGCTGCGCTAGTAGTATCCAGAGTGTGCACGGCGGCGGACCTGGACGAGAGCACCAAAGCGATTCGTTGAGCCTTGAGAATCTTTTCTGGGATCAAGTGGCTCCTGGTGGACGTAGCAATGGGGGTTACTCAATGAGAACTAACTGCTCATCCATTTTCGGGAGAAAGAGAACCTCAGTTGATCGGATATTGCAGAAAAGAGTCGACATATTACAAGCAGCACAAAGTCAAGGGGAGCAGGTACAAGAACAGCAGATGCAGAACAACCCCAATGTTGTTGCCAAGAGGACAGGAGTAACATCCTTTTCCTCCTCGTTAGCTCCCATCCATCTGCGCCTAACCCTATTGCGTGACTTTGTTCAGTGCAAGGTTCGGGATCTGGAAAGGAGGGAGCGGCTTGTAAAACTCCGTATAACCGGACTCTTGAAGACGGCTGCGACTTCGGAAAAGTGGAATGTTTTTTTTTCGACCGCTAAATCAGCATCAGGAGCTGTAAATTCCTTACTCCAACGTGCCGTGAATGGCAAACGACGTTCGGAAGCTGACCTATTGCGTAGTAGCTGTTTGTGCTACTATGTGCTGGACAACTACTCGAAAGCGTCAACGGAAGGACAAGGAGCAGAGCATGTGGCCCCAGAACAAGGACAGAGCTCCTCATTCGAAGGGCACGGAGCAGCTGCCTCAGCGCGCCAGTATTGGGTGGAGAGTCTTCTGCAATGGGGCGCAGACCCCCCACAAGAGAAGCGCATATTATAGTGTAAGACGTAAACAGATCATCAAGATCTATTTTTGCTGCAATATCACAGAGCCATTCGTTGACAATATTTTTTGGTAAAACTCGTCACAGTCACAGTGGCGCGTGCACCGTAACCGTTGCTTTTAGGCACTTGGGTTGTTCTTGATCATTGTTACGAGCATATTTATCACAAAAATTATAGAAGTGGCATCTTGTTTTTACTTGCAAGAAGAATGAACTTAGTGATTTTTTTAACACAATCTTCAATGAAGAGCTCTACTCGACTCTCTACCTACTCTTTCAGCAATATTATCGTCGATGAGGAAGCAATCCCAACTCGTCATTCGTGTGATCGACACATCATCAATCTTCGTCTACATCTACCTAATAGGTCAATGATTATTTCTTTCTATCCACATGTTGACCCCTGCTGTGTCTACATGTATTCACATTTTGTTAAACATGTCGAGAACGGGCTTGTTCGCATTGTTTTCTTCGCCTGGAAGCAACTACATGGAGGTGTTAACAGCATAGAATATACAACTGGGCATCGTCCGGTGTACTGCCCCATTCGGTGGAGTATGTTGTAAAAAATTGTATTCCGTGTTCCACCTCGTCGTAGATCAGCTCTTGGCGGCATTATCTAGACGTCGTGGACGGGTTTTAAGTGAGCTGAATTGCCGAACCCGAACCGCGAACATGAACGAATGAATGTTCCACCTCGTCGTACTACTCTTTATTTATTTCGTACGGTGTTCGAGTTCGAGGAGTCGACGTGGTGCTGTCGTGTTCAGACCTTGTATGATGGTGAAAGACATGAAGTACCACGGATCATCTTCACATGCCGTTATCAAGCTGATCATGATACGAGGTAGAGAAGAACACTGAACCAGCATCTTCTCTGTGACAACAATCTTGAATCTTCTAGGTGACAACGGTTCTTAATTTCCAAGAAAGATTTGTTGAAAACACTGCAAGAGGAAAGTGAAAATGATGCAGCACTTCCACCACGCTTTGTCGTCTGACATGATTGTTTCCGGTGTCCCAACTCCCAGTAGCTCGTCCTATCGCGCGGCGCCTGAGGACATCATCTTCAGCAGACCAGGAAGGACACTAAAAACGATGTTTCATAGGATATTCGGCCTCGATGGCACACATGCGAGCACAGGGAAAAGCACCAACACGAGAAGAGGACATACAGCATTCGTCCTAGCGGATTCTCCAGACTTGATTGCCTCAGCGGCTCAGAGTGCTCGTGAAGCTGCGATAGCGGCAGAGAGTGCGGCACAGGCGGCAAAAGTTGCTATTGTTATGAAAAAGTGTTTTATGATGATAAAAATCGCAGACAACGACCTCCAGTATTTTCCAAATGATGAACTACTTTGTGTCCACCTCGCTCGTAGCTAAATACTACACTGCACCTCCTTTTAAATATATTAAATACTGGAAAAAAAACTGATGCACTCCACCCCCGCGCCCAGCACTCTAATGTCCCCGAAGTAGCTGTTGCGAGACAGGCCAGTGGTAACGCACGGAAACAAATTCATTACCTTCGCTCGGCCATGGATGGACCACAAAGTCCAACAATGGGCTCGTTTAACTGAGCAGCAGATCGGCCATGGAAGGACCTCAAAGTCCGACAAGAATGGGGTCGTTTAACTGAGAGACAAAGGAAGATGGAATATCGAAGAAATAGGTAGACTGACTTTCATCTAGGATTTTGGAAGTTTTGGATTTTGATGAGACTGTGACTTTTTTGACGTACCTTCGACCTGCCTCTACTGCACAGAGAAAGATGAAATGTGTGTGTTTTTCGAATGAATCCTTGAACCGTCGATGATGTTCTCAAATTGATATTGGCACTGTGATGCACAGATGTTGAAGGAGAAATCCCGTGTTGACCACACTGAAATGAACCCTCTCTCTGCAACCTTAATGATGTGGAAAAACAAGGACTCTGCTCAGAATCATCTGTCAACGAATACGCTGTTGTGCATCCATATCTTTTACTACGCAATTTGGTGATTTAGTATAATGTGTTCGTACACAAAAGCAGAATGATTTCAAAGTCTTCACCAATCTATCCAGCAGACGCAGGTACCCGGAAAAGGGTTGATGAGAGAAGTCTACTAAGTTTCATCTTGTTCGTCGTGGTTATGAAGATAAGGAAAAGCTTTATTATAATTTTAGCTCGTTCGTCGTGGTGGTTATACTACAATTTAAGTACTACATTAGGTTCGTCGTGTTCTAGTCAAAATGTTATATCTGATACTGCGAGTACGCTGTACCGTACCAGATCCGATGAAAATATTCACATGTTTTTTGTCGTCGTGGGAGTGTAGGATCATTTTCTTGAAGCAGTTAAATAGCAATGAATGATGAACATCAGAATTATCCTCAAACATGAAAAACACAAATTTCATCACAATCATTTTGAAACAATATTAGACGGAGTGGGTCGCAAGAGGAGGCAGATATTGAGAGAAAAAAACGCAAAATCGATGACGCTTTGGTTTTGCTCTCCGTTTTCTTAAATTAGTTTTCTAAGGACTTGTCTTAGTCTTTACACCTACTATTTCTACTACCCCTTTTTCGATAGAGAATATCGACCACCTAAAGTAGAAATACTTACTCTGTTTGATATTACAAGACTGTGTATTAATACCATAGCAGGAGACTTATTAGATTTACGAGCACCTTGCGCTAAATCATCATTCGATTGTTCGTGTCATGAAACAAAGCAATCATGTTGATTATAGGCTCAGTATTTTCTTGCATACTTGGATTGTAAATATTGACGTCCTCATCTCCCTTTATAACTCTTTCTTCCAGTGGTCAACATACGACAAGCAACAGAATGAACAATAAAGACGACTCTAACTTAAGATAGATGATACAAATTTGTGTGTGTGCAGTTAGAGTTAGTTTCCTCTTTCTGCAAGAAGATGACCCCTTAGTTATAGCAAGAAATCATAGCCAGTCACGATTTTAATGCACTTTTATGAGCTGCGTCGGTATTAGAAACCATAACATGTTGAGAGAACGCAAAGAAGAAGATTTACATAAGCATCTTTATTTCATGATTCGTTACCTTTTTATTCGCCTCAACAAGCACCTCTCACGTACCGTCCATGATAGCTCGTCTACAGTAGTTGTGTGTTCTTGTCATATAGAGTAAGTAAGGAGGGTATTTCTAGTGGTTGTTGTACTTGATGTAGAAGTGCTAGTGCTCTAATGTAGATTATAGAACAAGGAGAAGGAAGATGTTCTATAAAATCAACATGATGCATGCATAGAGTGAGGAGTTCACTCATTCTCACCTGTTTGGAAGAATGACGCAGTAGTTGAGCTTCTTGTTTGGGAAGAACTAAGAAGACGCAAGAGTTGAGAAATTTCAAGAAAAACAGTAGTTGCAGGGGGCTAGTATGGCCCCTGCAGCATTCCTGTTCTGGCATGTAAGAAATAAACCCCGCCGTTGATGAAGCACAACAAGCATGTAGAAGTAGAAGAAATTACGTAGAAGTGCTGCTGCTGGTAGTCTTTGTCGTACAACTCGTGCGACCGCTAATACTACTACTAGTACGACTCGCACCAGTACAAGTCGAAAACCGCAAGACAAATTCTGGTAGTAGAGCAGCTGCGAAGTAGAACAAGAAGTAGGAGGCTTGGGCGGCGGTAGTTTTTCGTATACCAATGCTCTTGCATCTCTACTTCGAGTACTACGTCTGAGGACATCAAGAAAAATACAGAGGCTGCTATCATCCGTTTCAACATCTGTCTTCTGTTCTCGCGTCTGGCACTGCTGCTTGGAGGTAGATAGATTGTTGGTACTAGTGGTTGGGAATGACTATGCGGCTAGGTGCCGAAGCTGGAGGGGGGCAGACTGTTGTTCGAGAAGATGCTGGTCCTGATCACTGCAATATCGAGAAGAAATATTCAAAAAAACTACTACAAGAACAAAATGGTATTAAGGGTACATTCTTAAAAAAGGTGCTTTTGTTTCCGTTTGTTATGGCTCTCTCCCTTAGGTGGGGACAGCCCGATCTCCTAAGGGGTAAGTACCCGATAGCCTCTCTCCCTTAGGTGGGGACAGCCATTGGCTCTCCTAAGGGGGACCCGATAGCCATAACAAGCGGGAGAAACGAACACCAAAAGCCTACCACCTCTAATGGTAATGCAGCTATCGCATCTTCAGATGCATCCTCTTCAGCAACGTCACAATCGTCCCTGGCTTCTAGTCAAGAAAGCAACAAGTCATCTCCTCTACAGCGACGCATGACACGATCTGCAGACACGTGCACAGCGTCAAAAGTAGATCTACTTCGACGAGACAAAAAAAACGTCGAGAGTGTTGGTGTCGTAGATTCATCTACTTCATCACTACAAGAACGACAACAAGAGGGCAACTACAAAGATTATAGAATTAGTCAAAGCAGTATCTGTATCACCTCGGAAGATACAATTACAAGGAATAGTACAAAAATTGGAGATGAAGCAGAGGTGGTACTAGTAGATGAACCTACTACATTCGAGGAGCACCAGAAATACGTCCGCAGTATGTTCGTGACAACATCAGAAGAGTCCTCGGAGGCATCCTCCGACCCTTTGCCAACTGCGCCTCTACGTGGAGTCAGACTAGGATCTCCGATAGAGGTACACCTTCTTCAGCTGGACCAGAAAACAAAAAAAAATAGTCTATCTTGAAGATTATGAAAAATATTTATAAGGCAAAATGAAAACAAGTAACATCACCACGACGACGACCTTTGCATTTGCTCTTCCATCTTTACTTCTCTCTCCTACAACGACACTTTATTTCTCGCCAGGTCCCCCTCCACGAAATGGAGAATTGTCGGGTTTTGTATGGACAACGGGCAGTTTTTCTGCACGTTTACGACTTGGATGACATGACGGCAAAGGTGAATAGAGTAGCCATGAGTCTTGCGAATGCAGGAATCTTTCATGTGGGGGTAGAAGTATACGAGGACGAGTGGTATTTTCGACAGAGCAACTACGAAAATGAGACGGGTACTTACGCTTACTCTATTACTTCTAATTACTTGGTTAGTAGAAAACTTAAACTGCTGGTAATAGTATATGCTTTACTGATAAAAATCATTTTCTTGTTCTGGTTTTTGTTTTTCCTAGTTAGGTGCTCCACCACAGCAATCTATTACTTCTGATTACTACGGATTTCATTTTCATATTCATTGGGCTACAACCGTTGCGTTGACTATCAGTTATAGCACTTGCCCTCCTGCAGTCTTTGTGGATGCATACAACCCTTCTCTCATGTCATTTGCCAGTTGCGCACAGGTATCAGCCGCATGAAGCCAATGTCACGTACTACAGGTATCAGCCGCATGAAGCCGATGTCACATACGTGTCATGCGTATAGGCAATCGTTTTACATGGGCGAATCAGCCCTTGATCAAGCGGAATACTGTTATGAAAAACTTAGAAGCGTTGAGTTTTGTTCTTGATTCTTACAAAGAATTTGTTTTAGTTGTTGTGAGTGTTTTGTAGGGAGAGCGCTTGCGCCGCAGAGGGAGTTCAGCAGAAAAAAATTTGTCCGCTGACTTGTATCACATTTTTGCAAACATCATAGACCATTCTTTTTTTCATTCGTTGCGATTGCTTGTGAAGCTGAAGGGGGAATGGCGTGGAACCGACTACAATCTACTGACGAAGAATTGCCAGGATTTTGCAGTCTTGCTATGCCAGTTGCTCGAAGTGGCTCCAGTGCCGGACTTTGTCACAAAGCTTCCACGATTTATCAATAGAAATCTCGCTATTGCAGACGACGAGCAGCAGTCGAATAGTACATCCTCGTCTGCCGCGACAAGAAGCCATACAACAACTACAGTTGCAAGAACATCACATCAGCGAGGCCTCCAGCATCGAGGCTCACCCACACAGGGAGGTTGCCCTAGAGGCGTTTCGGCACCTAGCGGAACGCCAAAATGGTACAACAGTGGGAGACGAACCAGTTCAGCCAGTGGAGCAAGTGCGAAGTCAGGAACAACTACCACGCCAAAACATCATAGCAGTTCTTTAGCGGGGACGCCTACATCATCTGCAAAGAACAAACTGACGAGGGTGTCAACCAACTGTATCTCTGGGTCGCCAAAGAGGAAGTTCGCGCGCATTCATCAGAACGAAGCAACGTCGAGGGGAGGCTTGAGCTTGACGTCTCCACTTCTTAATGGTAATGACGCAGGAGCTAGAATTTCCGGTTTTCCACGAAGCTCCGGCATCTATCTAAGACAGGTCTCTGTTGTATGCTGCAGAGCACTTCGGTCTGTTATCTGATTGTTTTCCTTTGTCGCTTTATAATAATGTTCATAAGAATAAGAGTACACTAGATCTAGCTTCATCTCTTGATGTCCGCTCTGGTCCGTCAATGTTTTCACAATGAGTCCCGGTTGATGTAGTTCTACTCTCTCTTTCATACCGCTCACCGTGCGCAACTGGCGATCCACATCAGGCGCTTGGCGCTGCCTCTACAACAGTGGACAACGCTTTTGACCGAGATAGTTCTTTCTCCTTGCCGACTTTCATCCGAGTGCCTGACCAGCTACAACTAGATGCCGGAGGACGTCGGATGACGTTAGGCGGCTCCTCTTCTTCATCGAGGACGTCCTCTTCTGACACACAGTGTCACGGCAAGAAAAGTGAAACTACCGCAAAAACAAGTCGCAGATCATCTAATGTAAGAAGTGCTCGTCTTCATTGTTGTTCCTCGTCAGTAGACGGAGCTGATGCTGATGCTAGGTCAAGGAGGTCTGGATCTGGTCACTCTTCTTCTACCGTATTTGAACAGTCGTCTGAGGAACCTGAAGGATCCTACTTCGGAGGTAGCGTCGAGACTTCAGACTCCAACTCAGCCGCTGCGGCAAAGACAGAAATGAACCATGATGTTGGCAATACTACGACCAGTTCTACTACACCTCGTCAAGCGGCCGTGATGAACATGTCAATCACTACCTGTAGAGGTAGGAGTGACCACAAGGGAGGGAAGGTTCGCCGGAAGAAGGATGGTCTAGAAGAAAGTGAGCATAGTTCCGCAGAAGACTTTGCGCGGCAACTACTGCAAAATCCTCTTCTTTCTTCTTCGAGGACGCCGCCTAGTGCGGCAATTGATTCTCACGGCGCAGCAGTCTCACGAAGTCAAGCTAAGGGATCAAACAAGCCGCCATTTTCTTCTAGCACTCCTACTTCGTTTATGAAGAAAGCGGCTAGTACACCTACAAGCTTCGGCACAAATTCTTCTTCTGCGCGAATCATCTCTGCTAAGGGACGAAGCTTTTCAGCTAGGACACCGATAGCCAGTGGCCCGTCTTCTAGAAGTAGGCTGCTGCGGTCGGAGCAGGATGACAGAGCGGCGTCATGTGTGTCCGCTCGTGAGAGTGTAGCATCTTCAGCGGGAACGGGGGTCATGCATCAGATCACCGACTTTTTTCGCCGATCCTTTTCTTCGTCAGCAGTGAGTGATGGACGGACTGAGGCGCGGAAAACCTTCACTGCGGCTGCTGCAGAGAACTCCTCAGAAGTTTCGTCTTCGTGCCACGGCGCAACACCACTAAACAACGGCCCTGTCATTCATCCACCTCGACCTCGAGGCACAGGCGCAGCGCGTTCTGCTCAGTTACCTCCAGGTGGAGATGTTGTAACGCGAACGACAGCGACCCATGCCAGTTCATCTCTTCCTCTCGGTGGTAGAAGTACAACTACAGGGACTGATATAGGAGCCGGTGCCAGCCTTCCTCTCGGTGGTAGAAGTACAAGTACAACTACAGGGACTTCTTCTAATATACCAGCAGGCGGTGCGGCCAGCGAGGTAATGTTGATGAACCAACATGGGTGCACAATCCGTCTTCCAGTCGGACGTGAGGCTATTTTCGCGGACGACGATGAGTGCCCCTATGTGAGCTCAAGTCCCTTAGGTCGAGGACACACGTCACGTGCCAAATCGTGTTTGCCACCTGGATTTGCAAAGCCGCACTTTGATGAAGACCTGGAGAACAATGCATCGAATGGGGAAGTATTCGGAGGTGGAGGAGCGGTCTCTGGTGCTTCGGGCGGACTCTCAGCGTCAGCAAATGGCGCCCGAAGCAGTTTAGGAGCATCATCGAGCACGAGTCGCGCACGAGAGGGAATAGTAGGAGACCCAACAGCGGTAGACTCAGAGCAGGACCTGAGTGACGTAGGTCCGCCTTCTGGCAAGGTTAGTCCTTATCAACCAAGGATGGCGATGGTCGAGCACTCGGCGAGCTTACAACCTGGTACTTGCGTTATGCAGCGTAGCGCGTGCCCGTCACCAAGCTTCGGCCAGAACGAGGCTACACTTATCTCGACGAACGAGGACACTAAGATGTTGAGCAACGACCGTTCAACCACGCTGATACACCTTCAGCAGCACCAGCAAGAACATCAGCTTCCACCGGTGACTCCAGTTTCTTCGGCTAGTGGCAACACATCAGCACGGCACCATCAGGCACTGCATGCCGCCTCTCCCGGAGCGGACATCAAATTGAAGCTATTTGGCCGGAGCATGGACGATAACAGCACTACGGCTGATGGCTCAAAAGACGCACTGTCAGATGACGAGACGAGCCCACGCACGCGCACCAGTAGTCGCAGTTACTGGACCGCGCTGGCGAACAACATCTCCGCAACTTCAATTGTGACAAACAATAACAACATGACGTCGACGGCTATCATGACGAATGTAGTAACGGGAGCTGCTGGAGCAGGACCGACTGGTGCCGCATCGTTGAACAATGTCATGACCTGCAGTGGTACAACTTCTACTGCATCTCGCCGCACTGGAGGCAAGAGCCGACAGCTAGGCTCTTCAGTAACCACCAGCCCTGCCAAATCGACTGACGATAATGATCTAGTACCTGAGATGAATGGGGATGTGGTTTTAGTTCCGCATCCACCGCAAATTCACCCCAGTGTGCAGAGCTATATCAGGTACTCTTTCTCTTGCATTTTGGTTTTTTCTTTTCTTCATTAATTCGTAGTAAAAAGAGAATTGGAAGATGCTGAGTAGATGAAGATACAATTACAAACGTCATCCGCTTCCAGTAGGAAGATTATAAACCTTCAAACCGATTAAATTTATACAAAAAAGGCACCCCGGAATGCGCGCCGTCGCCGGAGAACAAAAGCTGCCACGAGAATCCGCTTTTGGCGAAGATTTTCTGCCAAATCCGTTCGAAAGAAGTTCAGCGTCGCGTTACTACGCGACACCAAACACAGCTAGACCCACACCAGCCGCTACAGTTTCTATCCATACTTCTATAACCAGTACAACTACTGGTTCCGGTTGTAGCAATACGGCAGCTAGAAAAACTACAAAAGCTTGCTCTCCTGAGGATGTTGGCTTTGCAGAGGATCAGGGACGGAGCGAACTACTACACCCAGCAGCATCAAGAAAGCTCTTAAAGACGCAGATGATGCTGCAGCAAAGCTCCAAGAGCCTCCAGAACTACCAGCACCCACAGCAGCCAGTAGTTATCTCGACGGCAGTCATTATGACATAATTGTTAATGTGCACTATTAGTGATAGAAGCTATAGATACTGTATTCGTATGTTATTCGTTAGAATTACTAGAAAAGTAACACGACTGGTAGTCCTAGTATAGATGCTTGCGTTTTGAGGTGTTGAAGTAGAAAGATCACCGAAAGTTGAAAAGTAGACCTAGACCACCTCTTCTAACTTTTGAAGTCACGCGAACCGTGGGAGTTACAAGATTGACAATACTGTACGTGACCGTCCGGTAATCGATCTTGACGCGCCTACGGTTGCGGACGCTTCGCCCGAGACGTTTGCGACTACTCTACTAAGGGCAGCTATAGATGAAGACGATGAGGTGGACGTAGCGGGAGGAGTTGTGTTTACTTCAGAAGAAGTAGGTGCGGGAAAGGATGAGCATCAAGAACAAGCAGGTGGTGTCCGAGAAGGAGAACACTCGACAGGTCGTGGAGCTCCTCAACTTAGGCTGCATCCCTTCGTAGATGCAGACCATGAGGGGTCTCAGCATCAACATGATGTCGTTGACCGCAGTTCTTCAGCCCAGACAAGCTGTTTCACAACTGACCACGAGGTTAAAAATGCTATGGTCTCAGCAGAGGGAGAGGGTGCTTGCGCCGCTAGCGCAGTGCCGGAGATTGCATCACTAGCTGGTCTTCAAAACAGCAATAGGTTCTTGCGGGAGCTTCCGACCTACGGCCCGCCGTGTGATTTCACGAACTATGTGAATTACACGAGCGCGGAGCAGGACGGCGACAACGAAATTTACGACAGCAGTCTCATCTACAGAGACTTGAGCCACCTACAAGAACAACAGCAGACCACGACGTCGTGTATGCTATCGTTACGACCCCAATCAGAACTAGTACAACTAAGGAACTCATGTGCAATGACTCAAGCAGGCGGAGGTGCAGGATCCGTGCACCGTGTCAGGGCCGTGCAGGCTGGACAACAAGGCCATGATGCAACTGCGCTTCAAGACCGTGTTACTGACGTGCGGACGCCACGAGCCTCTGGAGAGAGACTAACAGTAACAACTAGCACTCAGTCATGCAGCTCACCCACGACCGTAGAACCGGTGACGAGCGCGTTTTCTGTTGTAGGCGTGTCAAATCCCTCCGGAGGAAGTGCTACCTCCACGGCTCCTAAGAACGGCTTTGGAAATGCTACGACTCATGCTATTAACGGAGGTCAAGAACCTCAGCACGAAGACCCGCATCTTCACCAGCACATTTTTCTGAAGCAAGAACAGACGCCGCAGAAGACGAAACAGGCTTCACCTGCCAGCAGGACCACGACCGCGTCGTCAACAAAGAGGGGAGCGACGGCCACGTCTACGTGCACTGGAGCGAGCGAGACTAGCTCCAGCCGAGGCGACGCGAGTAGTACTGTCGGCTCCCTGGATTGGGATTGGCAGGATATGCAGGCTTTGCGTTCACCGCTGCCGATGATTCACGAGGAAAGCGAGCCTAGCAGCGAACAGGAACAACAGTACCTTTTATGCGGGAGAGGGCCGTCGTCGAGCCTGCAACAACAAATATCCACTGCTGGTGCTGGAAGTACGACAGGGCGAACAGCTGGAGGTATACAAATTCACCTCGGAGGGGCTGGGAACAGGGCCAGTGGGCATACTCCTTCGGCGAGCAACATCAATCTTCTTTCATCTGGAAGTGGAGCAACTCATCATCTTCAGAGTCAACACCAGACAACCTTCGCGAGAAACAACAACATGAAGAATTCATCGGCCGGTGCGACGAGGAGTGCCTTCTTCGGAGTGGAATACGAAGAAGATAAGATTAATTCTTCGGTGGGTAAGAAGAACCATAGTGGGGGCATGGAGCAGAGGCAGACTCTAAAGAACGGACGGTTTGTAGAAGTCGTTGATGACGACGGCCTCGCTTTCGAGGGCACCCCTCAATCGCGTAACAGGGTGCAGCAGGGCATATCTGTAGGAGTGCCCACTTTCTTTGGTCAGGCTGCTAGAGGTCCTTCTAGTACGACCGATGCCAGCAAGGGAGCAAGCAGCTGCACTGGAGCTCCAACAACTAGTGGTTTCAAGACAACTCCGACGAACGCTGCCTGGCAGAGTAGAGCGCCACGGCGTGTGGTTAGTAGAACTGCACGACGAGGACGAGCAGGAGGTGCACCAGGCGCACCAGGAGCGGCCGCGTGCAATCGGGAACAGGATGCTGATCATGGAGATGTTTCCTCCGACGAGGTCCTGGAGCTCGACGAAGGAGAGCACCTGCTCCTCTCTCCGCGGGATGAAAAAGACAATCATGCTAGTGGAAAAGGAAATGCATCATTCACTTCTACCAAGAAGAATTCCAAAAATTCCAATGGCGTCGCTGGTAGTACTAGTTCATCTAGTTCTGCTGGTTATCAACAGAGGACTAGTACTTCAGGTGCGCCAGCTGGTTCGCTTCAACAAAGAGACGCAGAAAATCTAGACAGAATCCGCGAACAGTGCTGCACACCGCGACTTCTGGAATATCTTCGAGGACGAGGAGGTGCCTCGACAACTTCCGTAAACTCGAGTTCTAATCTCCATGCAGTTCTACCAAGGCCACGACGTGTACTAGATCCTCCTGATGAAGACGAGGATGAAGTAGATGTTGTTCGAGATTCTCCAAGAAGTGCAACTACAACACCATCCTCACGAGTTGTGAGTGGAGGCTCAACACTACATCAGCTACAACTAGCACAAGAAGAGGAGGAGCATCTGCATCCAACGACTTCTAGCGTGGTGAAATCTACTGTTCAGTACCTTCTGGGGGCTAGAACGATGACAAGTGTGGAAACGGCACATCAGAAGCAGAACACGGCATGCACCTGGCGTAGGAACGCGATTGTATCGACCGTTGCAGAGCAAAGAGGCAGCAAGCCAAGGCTCTCAACTGCTCCCGAATGCGCGAGCTTTCTATAGGGGAAGATTTGAGCAGCTTGAAGTATTACAGTTCCTGACTGCTCGTCGGGAGTCTCTTTCTGCTTTCTCTTCGTATTTTCTTCCATTGTAAGTAAGTACCTAGTACTACATCACAATTCACTGCTCTCGTCTCTTGCATCTTCCACCTTGTTACAAATACTTACTTATGTTACTCTCTAACAGCACTAAGACTACCTCCTGGCACAGGTCGGACTAGAATCATGACCTCCTACCTTATAGTTCTTGACGTTAATCCAAAAAAACTCAGGTTGTGTTCGATGTTTGGTGCTGGTTTCCTTTCTCTCTCCGTTATTGAAGATTCACTCATTGGGCAATACCAATAAACGACGACGAAATTATAACTCACTTTCCTTCGAGCGCGAAGGTACTTTATCAACATTGCATGCACAACATGTACTGTATATCCTATAAGAGTAAGGGATTCAAATCCTAGGGAGGTAGGAAGATGTAGAAGATCATAGACATGATACGACCATCAACAAAATTCAGGTTCTTATCGCTCCTGCGTAAAGTTTCTAGACGGTTGCGACGTACATTACTGTTTCTTTTGGCAAACTTTGAAAGTGAGGCTCTTGGCGAAGATGCATTTTATCCTTGATGGCGATCGACGGTTCTGCGAAAGGGGAGGTGAGAAAGATTGATGCAGCCTCGTGCTAGGTTCTTGTTTGTTATCTCAACATGCTTCCAATTTCATATCGTATTTTCTTTTCTTAATTTCAATCACATCAAATATGAAAACATTTTAGTAGATGCTTGCTCAAGAAGCCTTTTACTTACAACAGTGTGATTTGCTTAATACAACTAAAATTCGTTCTCATGACATCCTCGAAGTTCTTCTAGCAAGAAGACTCACGAGGCGGACTAAAAAACTTCAATTTGATATTCAAAGATGACAATATTATGTGAACATTCGATTTACAGAAGAACCAAAAGATAAATACTTAAACCTGATGCTTCGTCAAAAATAAAATAAGATAAATCAGGTGCTGTCGTGATTGTGTCATGCAAATCTTTTTTTTTTCATCTTTCTTGTATACAACGATTGGCAATTATATTCAGGACATCAAAACAGATGAATAACAGATGAATACTTACTTTGACAACAACATCAATCTACTAAATTCTCCTAGACATCAACAAGATCAAGAACTTCAAAAAAAGCACCACTCGTCTCCTTGAAGATACAAGGTGATCGAGTTGAAGGAAGCAAGAATTTCATCTTACATCGATCGGGTATAACAATAAAATTATAATATTAACAACGGAGATTATCAGATTTGTTACTTCTACAGCAATTTCGAAGAATTTCAAACTAAGATCAAGAATAAGAGCAACAGAAGTCATTTAATTATAACGAGTGTCAGTACAGTATGATAAAACAAGATGTCGCTCATGTCGTTCATTGTGACTACGTTTATGAGGAGCTATTCACTTACTGTGAAAGTGAATATTCAAAAATTTTCTACCAAAAATTGATGCATGTATAATATGAATACTTAATATCTTCTCTTGCTTCTAGTTGTGCGACGGCTCAACATGATCTTAAGCTTAACTACTCACATATTATCGGCCACGACCACGACCAGATAAAGGAGCACAATCCTCCATTTATCTCTACCCTATAATTGTCATTGATGAATTCTTGTTATTATTATTACTTCAAGATGTATGACTATGAATACTTATAACTTGTGGGCCTGTTCGTGTTCTTGCGCCGGCAGCCTTCGATTTATCGACCACGACTTATCAACGAGGAGCTGCTAGTGGCGGGTGAAACATGAATCATGCACAATCAAGGCATGTTGAGGCTGACCAAAGGAGGATTTCTGAAGGATGAAGACGAGTCAGAAGATCGGCGGGTTAAGAATTAAATTCTCAACTCGAGCTCAAAGGATCGCAGGAGGTGCATCGATGACTTGTTTCTTCATTGATAACTAGAACAAATACCACCGGCAATGCGCTTCGAATATGCCCCTTCTTGTGCCACCACGACACCGCAACTGAAGTACAAGTATGGTGTATGTGCTAGGTCGTAGACATGATTCGTCGTTTGTGCGTCTGTAGTCGTAGAATCGAGACTGCTTCTATTTGCAGTGGCCATAAAATAAATGCAGTGCTGGTGCTATACCGAGGAGTCGGACGGCACGCTATAATACTGCTAATCCAAGTCGTACACCTTAGTAGAAGGTGCGTGTAATGATGTCATGTGCAATGACCAACCGAGCTCGCTAGATAAATACTTCAACATTGTTGTAACTCTTGATGATCCATTCTTGATGATCCATCTTTGGAATCTGAAGTAGCAGATCATCAAAAATTAACTCGCGTCACCAGTTAGGTAAATCCAAGATGAGAAGAAATTACTTTCTACTCGCAGCATAAAAGAATCATCTCAAGCAGGATGATTTTCTTTTTCAGAAGGCCTTCATGATCAAACAAATATTTGCACTCCATTCCTCTTTACAAAAAAATGGTTTGCATCTCTCAAATTTATTTCAGCGCAAAAAAGTAAAATCATTGGCGACAACTCGGAACAAGTATGCGCTTCAACAGGTGTTCGTCCCGTTACATCTTCAGAGTAGAAAGATTCGAAGTGCAAAATTTGCTTTCATCGAGGACGCATCCGCGAGCAATGTTGATGTCAAAAAAAACACAAAGACATGAATGAGAGAAGCGACAGCCTTTACAAAACATGATTATTCTTTTCTCAGCAGGATTACTAGTAGAAGGACCTCCTAATCTTTCTAGCGCCTTTAGAAAATCTTCCAACAAATCTTCACAATCAGAACAACACCACTCGTAACTACACAGACGCCAACAATTATCACTAGAACTATATTGATACAAAATGGCGGCTCTCGACAGCATTCACGTAAAGGTAAAGCGGAAGAACCAGACGTTTTTCCTCCTAGTCTCCAACCCAGAAGCACCGACGTTGGAGATCAAGGAAAAGCTCTGTTTATGATGACCTTGGTTGGCAACGTGAACACGTTGATATTGTGATGTTCTTACTGTTACTGTAGTTTGGTTTTTCGCAAAAATGTCGTTATTTGGACAAAGCACACAAAGTAAATTTTTAGCCGGCTAATTTCCCTCGATCATGGTTCGGATATCGTTCGTAGTCTCTATCCGCAATGTCGTTATTTGGACCACAAGGATGGTTCCATCCGTTACTAGAAGTTGTGTTTCTTGAGTTTGTTAAAGAAAGTAGATCATTTCGTAACTACTTACATCATACATAGATACCTCCCACAAGAACACTCGAAATATCCATAGGTACCTCCCACAAGCACAAGAACACTCAAAATAACCCAAAATAAATCCTCTTTCATTTTCTCTTCTCCTCGGCGACAAGTGCAAGGACCCTCTAGATATGCGGTTGATGTACGAGGATATCATTTTAGAGGATGAGATCTCCTTGAGGTCTCAGAGAGTACAAGACAGCTCGATTCTCAGCATGATCCTCCGTGCAGACGAAACGACCTTCGAACAACCTGAATACGACGATTTGGACGCGTTGCACTTGAAGACAGTGGCGGCGGTAACTAATTGAGAAGATGGCGCAGTGATTTATACTACTAGTTGCTGTGAGAGGACAATACAATACAATACAATACAATTATTAATCTCGCACAAAGTTCAGTGCAGACTGCCATAAGGGAGCAAATTTTTGCTATAGACGTAGGAGTTCTTATCGACGTGATAATTATAATAAGTAGATCGGATATTGTAGTCGTCCATTCTATTAATTGTTGCTCATTACGTGATTGTGGTCTCACACTAGCCAAGATCAACACTTGACGAAAGCTGACACAAAAACCCTGAGTAGTAACCCTTTCCCTTTTCCCATAACTTCCTTCTACGACGCCCAGTGGCTCGGACTTATTTTAGTCCTGAGTAGAAAAAAAAAGTCTAAGATCTTGTTATGGTGTTCATATTTTCGCTCATAACAGCACGTTCGCGAACAACTCAAATGCAGATGAATCTGTATCGGCTCTGCATCGGTTAGCTCTGTCGGTCATGTTTCGGTTTCTGTTTGAATTTCAGCTGGCTTTCGGTTTCGTCTCTGTGTGAAATGAGAATCGGTCGTTGCATTGAATCTTGTATTCCAAAAGATCTAGCGTCAATTCAACTTCAAGAAGCATGCAGCTGCATATGATAATCCAAAAATAAACATTCTACACATCACCATCAGTAGATGACCAAAAATATCGATAGTAGACCACAGTGATGAAGATACTAGGAGAGGATGAGCTTGCGTTCGTCCGCCGCAGACACTTTTGATGCTGAGCTAATACGTCGCCAGCTCGCAGGCACTGTCCAGCATGTTGACTCAGCTCTACGACACAGCCACGCACTCCTCGAAGAAGCTGAGAATGCGCGGTCCGCTTTGTCGTTGTTCTCCCTGTACACAGAGCGCGCACGCCGGCAAGCAGAAGCTGCTCTATTTAAGGGTAGGTTTTAGGTGTTCGTGTTAATACCGTAGAAGTTTGTTTTGACTAAGCATAAGCATAAGCATAAGCATAAGCATAAGCATAAGCATAAGCATAAGCATAAGCATAACAAACGGGGCAAGCGAACACCAAAACCCTACAGCTTCTAACTTATTCAATGCTGGCGTTCATGGGTACAAAGTCCCCTTAGACTGCAGAGCAAAGAGGGGATATTTTTCCTCAACCACTAAATCTTCTTCCGCAAGTTTTAAAGCCGCACAAGCCGAAATCAAGAAGGCAGATGCTTTGGAAGCTGCGGCGTCGAAGGTGAAACTCGACAAAGCAGGAGATCCGAAGGTCTTGAGCGAGGCTAAAGCAGAGGCAGCACGACAGGCATCTGCTAGTACTTCTGGTGCGACAAGTGCTGTACAAGGTCTAGGTTTAGCTTCTCCCGGAGGAGATCAAGGTGAACCTTCTCTCAACAAAGATCCGAACACCCTTCTCCTACCTTTTGAAATAACCACTAGGAGTGCCATACCCATAGGCAAGTCAGGCGTGGCTGTAGGAACGAGGAATGGTGACGAGTTTTCTCTTCTCGAGAAACAAGTCCTGACAGCTTCGGGCTATGCACAACGCGCTACTACGAACTTGCAGAATTTGAGAGGACAAGTTCGGACTTTGTCGGAGGAATTAGTAAGACCAGCTACGCATTTTACGAATCGGAGTGCAGTACATGCGGACTTTCTGACCTCACATCCGGGAATTCCTCAAATACCCGAGTACCTGGAGCAACGTGTGCGCAATGCCTGTGACAGCATCATAAAGGACATCCCTTACACGAAGTCTGAACAAAAAGCAGCGCAAAAATATGTTGCAGCAGAGAAAAAGAAAGCAGCGGGGAAAAGCAGATTTGGGAAGATGGGTGGCCGTGGCGTGGATTCTAATTCATTACTCCGTTTAGCCAGTTAGTACGTCTAACAAGTACTGAGACTATGTTGTATCTGGTCAAAATAACCTGAACACATTGCTTCATGTGCGTTAGCTGGACATTACGTGAAATCAACATGTACTTCCTTAGAAAAAGGACAACATCACGTGAACATCAATCTCAAAGATAGTAGAACGACCTGGACTTCGACGAAGAGTCCTAGCGCTGCATGTGAGGGATCATGATGCCGCGCAAGAACTGAAGGATGCTCATTCACATGCATCGGACATAAAATGCTTGGATTCGCCTCATAAACTCCACCTCGTAAGAACCAACACTCAGCAGCTGGTCATCGTCTCGGAACAAATCGTGTCAAACGGGGCTTCGTCGATCGTTGGTTCCGGTTACTGTTGCGCTCTCGTGTGGTCTTGATGCAGATGGAGAGCGTCAGCCCGGGAGTTCTTGATGCAGAGTCGTCCCACGAATAAATATTTGACTCACGTACCCGTGCCCGTCCTCGTCTCGATGAACATGGCTCTTCTGAAATAAGGCAAATGTGGTCTTCATCGATGAGGAAGACTACAGAAGAGTTTCAACATCTTATACATAGATACGATAGATACTATTTTTACTTTACATACAGTGGTTCGTCGTACAACTCCTGAAGGAGCACCTTCTTGTCAAGATGTCCTTATCGGCGAAAATCTTCGCGGAGCTTGGGCTCTCCTTGCAACATGACGAGGACTATGACGACAGGTGGAGTTGCATCTTTCCGAGAAAACAAGCACATCAAGCAGAAGTTGCGTTGAATATTATCTTCCCCAAGAATCATCTTCTGAAACATGATAGGCCAAGAACATCAAGTTTTGCTGCAACGAGCAGGAGCACAGCGGAAGAAAACAAGCACCTTGGCGACCTTTCTAGAAGCAGAACAACATCCTTCCTGTTGGGCCTCTTAAAGAAGAAAGCCAAACCTCCTGCTGGGGTCGTGTCAGGAGCTGCAGGAGGACCGACAGAAGCTGCAGCAGGACCGACAGAAGCTGCAAATAACGGCACTGGTGATGCAGCAGATTCCACTGGTGGAGCAGAAGCAGCAGAAGCAGATGGAGCAGAAGCAGAAGCAGCAGAGCCCGAATCCGCTTCACCCGAGGAAGAAGCCGAGATTGCAGAGGACGAGAATGAAACCTTCCTAGACGAACAAGAGCAGAAGGACTTACTCGACAAAACCAATGGGCCTTCGTCTAAACTGGCAATTGCGGTACATTAAGGGTTTCCGTTTCCACATTTCTGCATTCTTCCTCCTTTGCAGTCTTCACTTAGTTACTAGCTCCTTCTAGTTATAGCTCATTTTCATCGAGGGGAAAGTAAGGCGTGCTGATTAAGGAATGTAGTTCTTCTGAACCACGTGAAGAATGCAACTACTCGGCAAGAACCTACTTTAAGTACAGCGTGACCTGGAAGAGCAATTGCAGAATCAGGTGATATTTACGACACAGGCTCATCAATATGCGAGAAAGTTGCAGGATTCGTTGGACAAGATCTTAAGAACAGCGGAACAAGTGCGAAGCGATGCCCAAAGGAGTCTAGAACAAAGTGCGGCTGCACTGGCGAATCCAGCAATAGAGAGTAGAGGTATGGGAGGCGGTGCTGGGATTGCGGTCGAAGATTGAGATGGAGGCATTTTTCTGACAAAACAGAAATGCAGATGTCCTCAGAGATGAATTCTTGCGTAGTTTTTTGTGTCAAAAACTACTTACATGTTGATCAACCGCAACATGTTGCAACAAAAGATCATGATATTGCATCCTACTCCTAGAAGGACGCATCAGTGAATAGCTATAGCTTTCATCTAGCGCATTACAAGGGTGTTCGGGCATGATTGATTTGTCTCTCACTCTCTTCGTTAGACTGCGAGGAGCGATTGCGTATGCGAGCATACTGAAGCGAGATTGAGGGCAAAGCGAGCGATTCATTGGATGGGAACAAAAATTGTTTGAAGCAAAGACTTTGGAAAGACGAAACAAGCATTGATATTTTTGGATGCTTAGAAAGAGTTCACCGCACCCATGATGTCGCTACCGAGCTTTCGTCTTGTCGAGTTAGAGAGTCTTGTGTGACAGAATGATGCAGGTCGTGATCTTCCCGTCAAGAGCCAGTGCCTGCAGCTGCTTGTCCAGCTGCTGCCCTAGTACAACTGCAGCTCGTGCATTCTCCAGTACAACTGCATGTGGTAGTAGTTCTACCTCGTGGTCCACCTCAAGTCGCAGTAGATGGTCTTCCAACATCCGCTTGCAACGGCAAAGTCACTTAGCGGATGTCCGAGCTCGCATCTTTGGCGAACGGGAGAAAAAAGTTGGCGAGCACATGTTCCGCAGACCCCTAGACGGTCCCGAACTAAATCGACATTACTTTCCTTCGAAATTCAATTTCCAAAGTTTTCACTTGGATGAGTACATGGACATGCAGAGGGACCGATTTTTTAACAGAAGACCAGTGCATCCGTGTGTTGGGGAGTTGGAAATGGCTTTAGAACAAGTGCGTGAGGGGAGGAAGCGAACTGAGATTAGGAATTGGATTTCTGGCTACAGCTACATCGCATCTTCTTCTCAAAGAACTCAGCAAGAGCCTCAACCCCAAGACACAAGCAGCACGAGTAAGCATCCGACCTCCCAGAATCAACTCCAAATAGCTGCTTCACATAGGAACCGTCTAGAACAGAGAGATCCTCAAAGTTTGATCGATCTCAGTCAACTATTGGACTTAGCTGAAACTGTACATCCTGAGACTACCTCCTGTTGGGAAGTCGTTGAGGGTGGTACTTCGACAAGAACCTCTTTGGAGGCATCACAGCAAGTTGATGGGGCTGAGGGAGCTGATACAGTAGTGGGTGTTGATGTCGATGTCAAGGGAGTTGAAGATATTAAGGATTCCTTGTCTACTAGTACTGACAAGTCAACTTCAACCGAGGAAAGAGCTGAACCATTATCTTCTGACAATGCTGACAGCCACAGCAGTGCCGATGCTGGTGAATCTTTATCAACCGCTTCGGTTTCTGAGTCTACAACTTCTTCTGGCAAAGCAGATAGAATTCTCGGCATAGAAAAACCTTCTTCTGCAGCAGAAAGCGGAGAAGAGGAGAAGCCGGACTTCCTTGCAAGTTTATTCCAACAAGACTCATCTACTAGTCACGACTCCACTTCTACCCAAGATCTCATCCAAGAACTCGCAGCCAAAGAAAAAGAGCTTGAGAAGTCTGTGCAGTTCCGTTTCGTATGTCCGATGTATCGCCGTCGTCGTGTCAAATGGCTCGATCGCTTTACCAAGGGGCAGCACAAGAAGAAAGCGAAGCAGTATCATTCCTACTACTTGGTACATCCAGACGACAAACCAGTCTTCCCGGATAACTTGGGAAGTGTAACCGTCAGGTGGCCACATACGAAGTCATAATATGGAGTGGTACTTTGGGTTTGGGTGGAGGGAAGATGATGTGTCCGGACTTGTTGATGGATTGTGCATGAGTGTCGTGATTGTGATCATGCTTTGGTTTCATATTGATTCCTCGCTCCGAAACAAGGAAGAGGAAATTATGAAGGAAAATAAGGAGATTTATTTTCGTGGCGCGAGTCGTGCCAATGGCAAGTGTTCGATGCACGTCGTTGACAGAGATCAGGAACTTGGGAGTGGAGGCGGCAGTACTTATTTATAAGCATTCTTGAGAGTTTATTCCGGAAATATCAGCTCTATTGACAACTTCGAGACATATAGCGACCCCTAGTACTAAAGCCCACTGGATAGAATTTGTAGGAGTAATTTCATTGTAATTCAGCTAAGTACCTCCGCCCCTGCTTCGCTATAATTTTGTTCGTCAGAGTCGATAAAAAGATGCCGGACTTGTTTGATGTCTTCTTTGAGCAGTCTTTTTTGCTGCACCTCCAAAACGAGGAGGACAGCACCTCCAGCAAAAACATGTTCTCCTCGTCAGGCAACAATCCGGTGGATGAGTGCCGCCACTTTTCTTCTCTTGAAGATCATTGTCAGCGTCAGCTGTGTGTGGGCATCCGAAAACCAGCTCAAATACGTACTTCCATTCGAAGCTGGTGCCGAAGAAACCATCAACGACGAGAAGCCAACAGGCCAAGGCCTCGACGACCACCCGAGTGAAGCCTATGTTTTTGGAAGGGCGATCGGGGCACCGGTTTTTGGTTTTCTTCAAAAAGAAGGATCCACGTGGTTGGGCTCGAGGAATTCGACAGCTAGAATAACAACAAGGGATGCTAAGACATTAAGGCACACCACCTTCCTATCACTGCTGGAGCAACCATCAGCCTACGATCGCAACCAGCTCCCCCTTGGCCATTTACTCGTTTTTGCTGCAGGAGCATTGACGCAGATGAAACCTTTGGGCAGGACGGGGGAGCGCCAATACGTGCCATTAGAGGCAGAACCGATGATACAGGCATTGCCCTTGCTGTTTCACATCGTGGGAGTTCGTGCTCGATTGTATCACGCAGAGGCTATGCGTTTGGTTCAAGAAAGATGTGCGGTGTTGAGAGAAGCATTTGGAGATGGTGATGGGGGCGAAGATGGAAATGACAAAGTTGTACACGTGACAACGAATATGGGTGGATCTGCTATGACCAACGAGAACAAGATATTCGCATCCTCAAGTACAAGTAGCTTTTTTGACAACTCGAGCGCCACATCCATTGCAGGAGCAAGCAAATGGGCCTATCCCTGGAGTCCTGTGGAAAACGTGGAGTATTACAACGCTTCCCGGTGGTCCCACAGAGTCTTTTTACTGCAGAAACTAGAGACTACTGACCAAATTCTCACGTTTCAAGGAAGGGATAAATGTAGACATGAAGCACCAGAACACCACACCACAACAGAAATGGATAACAAACTTAATAAACTGAAGCAGGAACAACCCTCTCGCTCTCACGACGGTTTACACCAACGTCCCCAAGAAGACTTGGAACTTCTAGAACAGCTCCTAGCAGCGTATGACGAAAAGCTGAAGAAAATCCTACTTGCTGGAAAGAAAGGCATCACATTCTCTTCTCTTTTCTTCGCACGCAACGAGTTCAGAGCTAGAGTAGGACGTTTGCACGATGCTTTTCGAGCAGAACGAACCCACATGCTAGTCCTGCATCACCTGGTGCCACAATTACTAGCTAGAATGTCAGCGTTTGGAATCCTGTCTGAGACTGATGATCTGTTTGGTGGTGATGTATTTTCTCAGCAGAACGACAGCAACACAGCTTGTTCGTCTGGGAAGACTGCAGCTGCAGTGGAACTGGAAGACAGAGGTAGTAGCGATACGAACTTGCAAAAGATGATCCGGGCTTTATTGCGACATGCAGCAGACAGTGCACGAGCAGCAAGAAGAACTGCGGAACTACGTCCAACATCCCAAGAACATACAGCTCATGACGAACTCCAAGTGACCAAACTACAGCAAGAGTTAACTTTCTTGCTCTCTTTTCTCGCGTCAGAGGACAGCTTGCTTTCTCAACTGCTGCTTCACTCCAAGGACAGTGGGATTTTGGATCTGGCTTTTGTGTTTCTCTTTCGCAAATGGGGGATTCCATTACCTGAAGGCGTTGACTTGCATACTTTTCTGCTAAGCGACAAATCGTCAACGACAGCATCAACGACGACATCTGGCGCAACATCAAGATCCATGTTAGAGAGCTTGGATTTTGCCAAAGGTATACCGAATTTGACTGAAAGAGAGCTGATTAGCAGGCTTATGAACCTGATACAAGCAGAGGATGTGGAATTGGGAGAAGCATGTACTCGACAGATTCACCTGGCTAAGGAGAGGGATGGTGCACGAGCAGTAGACCCTCTTGAAAATGCAGCAGATGATGTGACGAGGCGGGTACAAGAAAACACTGTAGTTGATGATGTTGCATCGAGCGGCAACCACCAGAAGAAGATCAAGAACGACGTCAATGTCGAGGAAAGAGTGCGAACGCTAGCACGCTGTTGCCTGACACAGACTGACGCTATCCGATTGTTGGAAGGTATTCGGGTGGAAAAGCTAATCGCTTCGGGAACTGATGGGCTTTCGTCGACACTTCAAATGGTCGAGAGAGTACTGCTGCAGGAAAGCACTGGTGCGCCTACCTCTAGCTCTACTTCTGCTTTAATTAAGGCTCAACTTTCAACGGTCATTGGGGTTGGTCACTGAGATCGAAGAGGCGACCTCCCCTTGAGAGTAGAACAGGGGGAAATGAAGGGAAAACAAAGGGAGAGGCGTGGGGCCCTTTTCTTTCAGAATCAGTGGCCGCTGACTGCTGACCTTTAATTTAAAACTGCCGAACCCTCCCGACAAAGACAAGGAGGTTCTCACTCCCCCAGAATTCGGCCTACCTGGATCGTACACCCGTGAAAGGTACGCATCTGTGGCTTTACGAGATCCCTTCTTTGCTGGGAAGATGCGTCGAGATCGACTTGTGGTTTTTCGAAGATTCGATGAGTACCCCCAGAGCGTGCATGATAGCTTGTTGTATTTGTTGGGAAAGGGAGTTTACTCGGGTACTGCAACGAACACGTCGAAGTCGTCTGAAGCTGAAACAAGAGATAATGGCGAGTACGTGGTGGATTGCTTTGTTGATGACTCACGACATGGGACCTACAACAAGGATACAGACGAGAGGACGCAGTCTAGGCTTTGTCAAATGCTGCTGGAGAGCAAAGAAAAAGGCCACTCAGGAGTGACACTGCTAGGCGTTGAAGACAGTAGACCTGCTATTCCTAATATTCGAGCCAACACGGAGCACATATCGAAGAAGTCTCTCCTCCAGCAACAAAGACGATATTCATTCCTCGTGAATTTCAAGAAACTTCTAGAACTTCTTGTTCCCCCTCTACAGGTAGTCGACCTCCTTCTAGAACAACACCTTGCCTTATACGGGACATCCGCTGTCACCTTGGTTCGCACTTTCCCATCTTCATGGACTAGGGATTACACTATGCTAGCCGGGGCAACTAGTGATGCAAGACAAGTGGAGAACAATCTGCGGTACCCGTTTGTCCAAAAAGCCTTCGGGACGGTGACTCGAGTACTGCTGTCTCTAGCTAGGAATAGATTGTGGAGTAGAACGAGAACGAGAACTAGAATGTACAAAGACAAGGGAGAACAAGAAGGGTCTCGATCGACGTCACGACGAGCAGTAGAACCTGCTACACGAGTACATTTTAGTGCTACAGCTACAGAACCTACTTTTGAGGATATGGTACATCCAGCAGCAGGCGAACGACGTTGGTTGTGCGGTGTAAAAGAGCTTGCGTGGAATCCATTCGAGATGAAATGCGTTCCGCATCATCCTCTAGTGGTGGACTACATTCTTAGAAGCCAAGAACATGAAACTGCGAGGACTAGTATTGGAAATAATACAGATGAACAAGAGCAAGTAGACAGCAATAGAGTAGAAGTGGCACCCGATGGAAAGACCGAAAGTGCCGAGCCTACTGTACTAGGACAACGGAGAGAAAAGCCCTATTTCCATCATCCGATGGGAACCAAAGTTTATACACAAACGGAATGTGGGAAAAGTGAGCTAGACCAACCCGGACGGTCATGGAATTGTGGTTCATTGATGTCTTTGACCACACGAGATGGTGCACAACGAAAACAAGTGGAAGCAACTTCAACTAAGCTCCATTCAGAGCTTTTGATCGAAGAGGAATATTTCCAACTAGTTGCCTTGCTCAGTGCTATTGACGAAAGGCGTGGTCGTAGAGAAAATGCCAATGGTAGAGGTGTAGCAGGCGTTTTTCGTTTTGCTGAATGGGGAGCCCATTTCGGCCCTTGGGGAACAGCGGCTGCAACAATTTGGGCAAGGAATGGAACAACAAGACCGCTTTCAAAAGGAGCGGTTGAACAAGATGTCTCTACGAAGACCAAGATGAGTCTTTCGACGTGCAGCATCCTCTTCGTACAACCTGGTGATCTGCGTGAATTACGAGAGAATGTCGCTCTGAACAGGTTGCGAGACGAGAAGTGCAAAACTGTACGTCTTGAAGATCGATTTATTGGAGATTCCCGATTTTTGGACCATTTTGGAGAACGCTTTTTCGCCAATGGAACCGACGCACTTCCTGAAGGTCGATTCGCGGATACGAGGAAAGACGAGGAGGAGGAGGAGGAGGATTATGTTATGACTCGGTTTTACAGTAAAACTTTTACTGTTGTGACGATGTACGTTTGGAAGTAAAGGTAAACATTATAGCATACAACTTTATTTTTAGCGGTTTCAAATTCAATGCAGTTATATTTCTTGAAGAACTTCCCTACGTTTCTTAAAACCACAGCCCTTCCTTCAACATTTTCTAATCGGCTCGACCTCGTGGACATCGACATCCAGGGAGCCGAGTATTACTCTCTTGTCGCCATTTGGCTTCCGATTTTCAAGAAGTCAGTGCGCCGCATCCATGTCGGGACTCATAGTGTCAGTCTTCATGGGAAGTTGCGTCGATTATTTCGGGAAAGCGGGTTTGAGGTGGAGCAAGATTTTCTACCCGAAAGCTTAGATCGATATCCTAGATGGGGTGGCCGCATAGCATTTCGAGATGGAGTGCTCACAGTCAGAAATCCTCAGATTTTTCAAATCTAAGATGCTCACCTTCGACTTCAAGAAAAACCAGAACTCGCTCCTGCAGCTGCTGCAGGCGGTGCGAGAGGGACAATGTTCACTTTTCTGATCTTGTTTTGCTATCGCATTTGTTGACTTAGACTTCGAGTTCCGGAGGGGTAGGCATATTAGGGATCCCCATGATCAGTTTTGCTTCTCCTCTATTGGGGCACAGCTCTCTCTAGATCCAAAATCAAGAGAAAAGGATTTCCATCATCAAGACGAAAGCTTGTAGGCTTGGCCTCGCAGCAAGTTCCTAAGGTGATCACGATCATGATTTTCAGGTACACTAGGTCTTGCTCGCTGATAGGAAAAAAACAATAGGTAGTTGCAATATTTGTTGATTTTGATTTTGTGAAAAGCAGGAGGGGTGTCGATATTTTTGTTCCGCACTTTTTGTTTTGGCAAGCGATGACCATGAAAAATCTATGATTGGAACTAGATAAAGATGATAGAGTTAGAGCCAAAAATGTCATCCTCAGCGGCTGCCGCGGACGCACCCGCTCTGGCTGATCCATCAAAAACTAGCGATCAGCAAGGAGAGAAGGACCAAAATGTTAAGCCTCAAAGAGCCGTATGTCAGGATTGCGATCGCCCAGCTAGAGTCTGCCTCTGTGCCTGGTTGCCAAGAGAGAAAGCCAAGAGCCCGTTGGACGTAATCGTTCTGCAACATCCCCAAGAAGCCCAGCAAAAGCATCGAACGGACTACTTCCTCCATCGCTGTATCGAAAACGTCAAGGTAGTTGTGGGGAGACGATGGGAAAACGTAAACTCCTCTGCTGAGAGTGAACCCGAAACGACATCAGATGGCATGAGTCGCACTTTACTCCTCTATCCTGGATCCGAAGCGAAGACTGTTGGCCAACTCCTTGAAGTCGCAAATGCTAGTCTACCTTTTGACAGAGTCATCGCTCTCGACTCCACATGGAAATATGCGAAAGAGATGGAGAGGAGCTTTCCATCTACTGTGCAGAGAGTACAACTTGATCTTTATTGTAGAGAAGAAGGAGACCCTGTGTTGAAGCCAAAATTCTTGGTACGCAAACCGGAGAAAGTAGAGTTAAAAGGGATAGGAGCAGTTGCACAGGGATTCTCAACAGCTGAGGCAGTGGCATTGTTTTTGGATGAATGGAAGAGCAGTTCAGCCTCATGTACAACAGCAAGCGAAAAGATGAACCAAGCAGCATCCTCTTCAACTAGATCTTCAACTAGATCTTCAACTCGTTCTACTTTGTTTTACGACACAGTAACGAAACCTTTATGCCAGTATGTGGAGTATCAGCGGGGTTTCATGAAAGTAAAGCACAGAACGGATAGGCCAGGTTACATACCAGGTTTATGGGATGATAAGACTAGTTCTGTAGTCGAACCGAATCCTAAGGACGAGCAAGGCCCTCTTCCCAAAAAACAGAAAACCTCCATTTCTTCATGAAAAAACAACTCCTCGTCCTCCTCGTCCTTGTATGATCGATGCCCTCGAATTTCCTGCTCGCTGTCCTTTATTTCGTATCCTAATCGACATCGTCACAACGAATCTCCATAATATTCCGGAGGTCTGCGTGGTCTTTCAGAGCTTAAAAAAATGTTGACGAGGGGGCAAATAGTATTCTTAGAAAAATGTTGAGAGTGGTCTCAGAGGGACACAGACACACAGCAAAGACAGAACAAAATATTCGTCGGTGAAAAAATAAAAATTCCTTACTGCTTGATGTTCAAAGAAATTCAAAGTAGTCGTGGTCGATGTGCTCGTTGCTCGGTTTATGGAAGAAAACCATGAGTAGGCTATCGACATAAGTTGAAAAATCGCGAATCGGTTAGACAATTAGATACGTGGGTTCACAGTGAGTTGCTTCGTAGTACCCAAGAAACGGACGCTGCAAAAAATGAGAGACTTAGTGGTCGTGGAGGTCCGCATCGATGAGAACAAGAAAAATTATCTTTCGAGATGGCTTAACATCCTCGGAAAAAGTCGGAGTAGCAATGGTGTCGAATATTGAAATGCAGACTGTCGTCAAAGAACAAAAATATGACAGGGACTCCAACAAAAACATGAAAGATTAGAAAGTAATCACCCTTTTCCCACCCACCAGTTTACCACGTAGTTCTTTTTTTTTGCCGAAATGCAACGAGCACTACTATAAGAGAACTTCGAACGATGACAACAGAACTTAAATCTTTGAATTTTTGATGACGAAACTTCGCTGATCTGATGAACTTGTTTTTTTATCTAGCTTCTATATTAATAGACATAGACTATTATTACAACTTATTAGAATTAGTTCATCTACTTTGAGTTTGTGTAATATACGTCCTCCTAGCAGTGACTTATTATCGCTATTTTTGCTCATACTACAACCTTGTTGATGTGGTCGTCGTGCTAGTGCCTATACTTACGAAAAGAAACACGAAACAGCAGGAAATTCAATGAGCATGAAAATTTGAGCTGGAATCGATAACATTTCCTGAAAGGTCGTCTTCCTCTTCACTCGTATAATTTCCAAATAAACCACTTACTACATAGATGGACGACGTATTAAGTAGGCACTCAGATCATCAATAGAGACTTATTCGATAAACAACCGTAGAGAATTTGTATTCCAAAAATTCCGACGAAATGCCAGCTGCACGCGCCACTTTTCCGACGGAAATGAAGATGTTTGAACCGCTTTTGGCGGCTCTGCATGACCTTTCCTGTCGAAACCCAATGCATTTGGATGCGTTCCTCATAGGTAGTTGTACAACTTTACCAATTCTTGTTCTTATGTAAGGAGAAGTACTCGCTGTCGCTTCTGAATCCTAATTCCTTGTTCGTAGACGTCGATCAAATTGACATGGTAGTGCAAGCTCATAATTTTTATACTTTCCCGAATTCCGGCCGCCACCGCCTTTTCCCTAGCCGTAAGCCTCACCTGACCTCTCCCAATGGGAACCACTACAAACCACCTCTCCAGGTTTGTGGAATCCACTTGAGCGAAGAGAGCTCTTCCAGTGGCTGAAACAGATGCTGGAGCAAAGCGAGATTCCACTTTCCGTCTTCTTCAAGACCACACAGATGTTTGACCGATTTCTGGAACACTCTGTGAAAGAACAATTCGCTAACGCAACAGCTGCAGCTGCTCATGGAGGATCGGCCGGGGCACAAACTTACGGAGGCTGAAGTCTGTGATCTTCATCTTACCTCCTTTCGGTTCGTAACTACAACAAGATTGAACCTCATAAATCTTGATCATCTTCACAATAAAAAACCAAAATATATTAACTACTACTAGTACAACATCACACACTCCCAAGTGGTCCCAACACATCATGATCAATCTGTCATCTCCTCCATCGCTAATTCGAACAACAAGAAATCCTAAGCAGCAAAGGAGGTTTAAAGCAGATCTGTCCATCTCCGCTTTCTGCGTCGATGTCAACGCTCGCATCGAGTCCTAAGACACCAGAAAATATGACGGGAGCACTAGTACCAGGAGCAGCGGGAGGATGTACTATATTTATATAACTGTTACTTCTTTACCTTACTTCTTTATTCTTATTGTAGAGTAGTTTACTCCCCGGGCCCGGGTGCCCCGGGAGACGTTAAGGAAGGGAAAGGGATACTTTAGGGACGTGGGCGGGGGTGAATGGTTTCACAAGGTGAAACGGGCGCCCGGGGGGCGCGCACTCCCCTCCGCGTCGCGGGAAAGGGGAGCGGGGGCGCGGTGATTTTATATACAAGAGGAAGGTGGCAGCACTGGCACCGGTGTCCGCGGTTTTTTTCTTCTCTTCCGTCTCTTTGTCCCGTTCGTGGCCTTGTGTCCGGACTCTAGCGAACAACAAGAACAAAGCAAAACGGAGGCCCGCGAGGGTCGTCCGCAAATTATAGCGAAAAAAAGGGGGCCCCGTTCCCATAGTAAGAACGAGCAAACAAGAGGCGCCGGCGGGCAGTGAAACACGCACCGCCACGGGCACCATCTTCAACGCGTTGGCCACAGCTGGCGCGGGTGTTCGTGGCTTTTTTCTCCTTTTCTCCCTCTTTGTCCCGTTCGTGGCCTTGGGTCCGGACCATAGCGAACAACAAGAACAAAGGAAACAGAGCGGAGGCCCGCGAGGCCCGCGAGGGTCGTCTGCAAATTATAGCGAAAAAGGGGGGGCCGTGTTCCCAAGATGGTGACAAGAGTAAGCAACCAGGAGGCGCCGGCGGGCAGTTAAACACGGACCACCACGGGCACCATCTTCAACGCGTTGGCCATAGCTGGCGCGGGTGTCCGCGGGTTTTTTCTTCTCTTCTGTCTCTCTGTCCCGTTCGTGGCTTTGTGTCTGGACTATGGCGAACAACAAGAACAAAGGAACGCGGAGGCCCGCGAGGGTCGTCCGCAAATTATAGCGAAAAAGAGGGGGCCTCGCTCCCATAGTAAGAACAAGCAGCGAGGAGGCGCCGGCGGGCAGTGAAACACGCACCACCACGGGCACCACCTTCAACGCGTTGGCCATAGCTGGCGCGGGTGTTCGTGGCTTTGTTCTTCTTTTCTCTCTCTTTGTCCCGTTCGTGGCCTTGGGTCCGAACAATAGCGAACAACAAGAACAAAGGAAACAAAGCGGAGGCCCGCGAGGGTCGTCCGCAAATGGTAGCGAAAAAAGGGGGGCTGTGTTCCCAAGATGGTGACAAGAGTAAGCAACCAGGAGGCGCCGGCGGGCAGTTAAACACGCACCACCACGGGCACCATTTTCAACGCGTTGGCCATAGCTGGCGCGGGTGTCCGCGGTTTTTT